CAGAATAACACGTACACTACAGGATCTCATAGTCATGAAGAATAAAAAACATTTGAGGATGACTTGTAAAGTCCTCTTATAAAATTAACACTAAGGTCAAAGCATTTAAATAGACTCCGCTTCCCTGCAAAACCTGGTGAGTCCGATATATCTTGTATACCATATTCGTCGTTTTACAATTTAACGTCACATTAATCATAAATACCGTTCACAAAAAAACCTGTTGTAGCTGAACAATACTATGTCAAAACTAAATATTTTCGCCAAAAACATCAATTTGCTGAGCACGTGAATGTCACGAGAGACAAACAGATATGAATTATATGATAAAAACTCATCATACGAAGTAAATTAATAACCTACTTTAGTCCTATGGATATTTTTCTAAATCCGCCTGACTGAAGATAAACTGACTTTGGATCGAAAAAAACTTCACTTGCATTTTCAAGATGGACCACTTTCCAAAGAACGAAAGTATACAAAACGACAAATAAACGCATAGACATTACAATTTCATAAATCTGACAGCTAACTGTGAAAATATATATGTCTTAACTAGAACATACAAACAAAGTTTATTGAAACCTAGTAAGGAACACTATCTCCAATACTAAAAACAATATGAATACTTTAAAATTTAGATATAACTGATTTCTATTCCATCCTTTTTATTTTTCAAATTGGTAATTTCTAGGAAGAAGGTTGATAAACTCATTCAAAAATACTTACCAATATATAGATCTGCATGGTTTAACAACTCTGTAGGACAATATACAGGTTATTAGATAACTGGATAGAAACTTGTGGATATTTTGTTCTGTCCCTCCTAACTTATCGCTCTTAAATCCTGAAAGGAACTTGACGTCATACCTACAGTCGCTACTGCATTTTCGTTTGCTTGAATTCCTGAGAATGCTGTTCGGATTGCAGACACATTACACACATTTCAGTGTTTTATGAATAAGGTAACTAAGGCCTAGATTTCGCATTCCTGTATATCGACTATGCAATTATAGTGAGCAGTTCACTCTACGGACACATGGTTTACTTACATCAACGATTCGAATGATTCCAGATATTTGGTATAGTTATTAATTCATCCAAATTTACTTTGTGCGTCGAGAGCTTAGACTTTTTGAGCCAAAAAATATGGAATCACGCTGTTAGATGAGAAAATTTACCCGGAAGCAGATCCACTGAATAAACTTCGACGTTTCTTCGGGATGATTAATTTTTATCACCGTTTTATTTCACACACAGACTTTAATGAAGCCGTTAAAAAGTAAAGGCGAAACTTTCACCTTACCTTTCGGAAAGAAAGACGCATTTTCCGTGGCTAAAATGGGAATCACTCCCACAACCATGCTGACCTACCTAAGTCGTGACCCGAAGGTAACGCTAATTTCATGTGCTGACGTGTCTCAGAGAGTGGTTGGTACAGCACTACAACAGGAAATAATGAAACTAAAGCGACTGCTTCCCTTACAAAAGAACTGGGACCGACTCAAGCGCAATACAGCACTTTCAGTAGAGAATTATCGGCTATTTACTTAGCAGTTAAACATTTTAAACATTTACTTCAATGCAGAGATTTGGTGATACTCACTAGTCACACACCTTTGACTTACACATTTACTACGAAAAGCGAACTTTATTCCTCCAGAGAGATGCCGAAATTAGATCAAAAATGTTAGATGTTCGGTGTGTCCTTCAGAAGTGCTAAACATCATAATGTTAAATGTCACGATACAACGAGACAGTATAAACAATGATGAGACTTCCACGTAAGATCTTATAGATTGGGGTAGACACGTCGCAACAAATCTACAGTTTTGGGATTAGGACTATTATTCTAACACTGGCCTAGACCATAATTCCACAATACTCCGTTAGGAACACACATTGTTTGCCGATAGTGTACGGGAAAAGCGTTCTTGATGGTCTTCACGTATTATCTCATTCAGGAGTCCGTTCCACTGAGAGACTGGCCTCAGAAACATTTGTTTGGCCGACAATTAACTCGGAAATAAAGCAGGGAACCAGAAACTGCTTTCAATATCGGTACAGCGAAATTCCCAGTTCGATAATCACGTCACCGCCAATAATCAATCTACCCGCTCGTCAACATATCATTTCGATTTAGTTGGTCTATTGGCTTCAAATGACGGTCGTAATTACATCCTGACTGCAGAAGACCGTTTCGCCAGGTTGCCGATAGGGTGCTCGGTAAAAGACATTTCAACAGGAAATATTGCTGCCGTATCCTTAAAGAGATGGATTTTTAGTTTTTGTGTACCTTGTAAGGTTACTTCCGCCAGAGGTTTGCAGTTTCAATCGCACCTCTCTAGTGAACTTACATCCATTTTCCACACCCATCACCTCAATACAACAACATGTCATTTAGCAGCCAATGGACTAGTCGAACGATTCCACGGACAACTGAAAAGTCCTCTGATGGAACAGCCTGGTGTAACCAAATGGACCAAATACATACATCTGAATTTGCTCAGCAAACTCTCCATTATCTAAGAAGTCCTTCAGTGTTCACTCCCAACCGATGGTGCTAATGTCACAAATTCACAAATTCAGTTCCTAATTCTATAACTTTACACGTCCTTAAACACATTCGTAAAGGAAGACAGGTACATATGTGGAATTATAGTCTACTTCACTATTAGTACTGCTCTAACAATAGACCTAATCCTAGATTTGTCACGATAAGACTACCTAATCTATAAGATCTTACGTGAACGTCACATCATTGTCTACACTGACTCATCGAAAAAAATCACCAATATATTACGGAGAAGATAATTACGTTGGAGATGGGACAATATATTTAATATGAACAAAAGAGGTAAGTTACACGACAATGACCACGCCTGCAAGACTGAGCCATGCCATCCGATTACTGAAATCATTGTCCCCGTTTTCTCCATAATTAACCTTCTCTTTGCCGTAATTTTTGAATATAAGATTTTTCGGCTAATATATGCTAGGCTTCAAAGGTCGCGTGCTTAGGGTCTAATGCCACTACACTACTCTCCCACCAGAATCAACGCGACGTTGATTCGACACCAAATTGAGTGGGATTGTCGCGCGCCGAAGGTTACTAAAAGAGTAATAAGGATCCTCCGAGTATAGATAAGCTGAAAGATAAATCAGAAAAAGGAGGCGGCAACTGATCGATAAATACATATAGTAATTTCAAAATGTTTGGATTTTTTTTTAAACACGGGATAAATGGAAATCTATGTGATTATTTTAAAGTTGAGAAAAGTGGAACTATAATAATTAAAATGCATAGTTAAACACTTGGTTAATGTCTCAAGTTGTAGGCGACATAAGTTATTTGTATAATGAAATTCAAGAATAATCATTGTTGTAGAAGTATTGATATTGGTACTACATTAGATAGTCTAGATTAAATAGTCAGTTAACGTTCATATTCGTATGATGTCCGTATGAGTTGATATTTATTTGATTATCAGGGAGAACGTAATTGGTAACCAATCGGAGTACAGCTCCCAACTTATGTCTATGATAGTGGCTTGATCATTAGTCAGTGTTGAGGTAAATTTGACAGTGTGCATTGACCCACTTTTATCAACAGATAGCGATTGGTGTAATGGAAACAATTTCTATTATAACCAGTTGTACCAGTGATTGTTTTACTGTACTTGTTTGTTTAACTGTACCAAAGACATTCTTCCTTCCGTTGATTGTGACCTTGTGCGCGCTTACGTTTGCTCAGTGAATCCGCTTGTACTCCTTTGGCACGATCTCGGTATTCTTTCGATACCACGAGATCGCCAATAAATATATCCCGCTACAATCTCCAACCGCCTTCTGATATCTGGTACGCAACCTTCTTATAGTAGTGATCATAGTCAAAACGCGACTCAAAGCCACGCTACAAGTGTTTTCAGTTTGCAGGAGACTAGCTCAACTGCTTATACTGATGATTTGCATGCATGATTGTGTCGCTAGACCTCAAGTTAGACTGACAATGGTTTAAGATATTTACTGAATCAGTACTGAATGAATATTCTGCAATCATCTGTAATGGATGAAGATAACGAAAAAACAACACTGAAAAAAAGAGTCAGTGTTAGTGTTAGGAGCTAGAAGTTCAGTGTTCGAGTCTTACTGTGAACATCAGAAACGGTTTTAGGTATATCCATATAACGAGTCGCAAATAGGACGAAACGGGACTCATCGATGTTTCGTACATAACTAATTAATTTGTAAATTAGTCACTAACCTGGTACAAATAATATAATTTTGTTAAAATCTCCATATTTCCATTACATGACATTTATATATACAACTTCAATTCTTCTCAATAACTTTTATTGTATACGTTGAGTAAACATAGTACTGATGAATATCTTATCTACAACTCTTATACTCTAATTTTGAGTGTCATCAGACGTTTAAAAGTTAAGTGATTAAAAATTAATGGTTTTAATACGTAAATCGCTAAGTAAATTTGGATGAAGTAGTTACGTTATCATTGACAAAAATAAACATTGACCACAACAATTAGTATTTTTAAATCAACACGTCTTACTATAGATGATCTGTTATGTTATTTTTCTAATATTTATTATTCCAAATACTTATTATCCCTTGTTCAGAATATGACAATGTTGTAATAAGTTTTGTTTACTTGTTACCCACCAACCTTTACGAAAGTTCACTTCAATGCAATTAGCCAGTTATAATATGAATAAATTTGCATAACATATGTAGTAATAGTAATAGGAGACTTATTTCTGATCACATATACATATGCAGAGACATATGTATCCCTGCATTCTTGAAATGGTTCATGCAGTTTAACAAACATATTCAGACGATTGGTCGATCTAATAAATTGTTTGATAAATTGCGGTCCAGTTTACATTGTCAACGATTATAGTACATTTACACTTATTTGGTCAATGAAATTTATTTGTATGGCAGTTTAATAGTACGTATTTATAAGTAATAAGAAAATGGGAAATGGATCTAGTATACCTTCTACAGGAATTAATATCCATGGTAAAATTACAAAGAAACTTTTTGAAAATGGCAAATCAAAACTACATCAATCTTGTCAATCCTCTAAACAGTTCACATGTAATTCAGAAGACAATAGTAATGGTATTAACGATAAAAAATGGGTTTATTCAATTGACCAAACCATAAAAAGTTATCAAGTTGAAAGTTTTTATTATGATGAAGATTATCTAGATAAAGTTGACGACGATGATAATGAAGAACGTAAGTCTACATAGATTGAGTTTATAAATTGATTAATTCTCTAAAATACATTTAAAAAGTGCACAAAATTGATATGATCATCTGAATCAATGTAAAACTAAGATTGTTGCACATAATTGTTGTCATGTATAAACAAAATTTCAAACTGATCAATTACCTTCAAAATTTTAATTTTTGCACTAAATATAAAAAATAAACGTTCTTTGGAAATTTTTTTTATACTAAAAATTGAAGCACAATATAAAATTCACATACTTATCATTTGTTAGAAGAAAAGTGTTTGTTATACAGTGCAAGCGAGGTTGTTAAATATATAAGATAATAAGCAAATGAATAATTTATGTGTGTAGTAGTTAAGCAAATGATAAAGAATACTCTAATAAGAATCAGAGATCCAATACACAAGGAGGAACAACAGAATTGTGTTTATGAAATCAAATGTGGTGACTGTAATGCAACGTATGTAAGTGAAACATCAAGACAACTGAATATGAGGGTAAAAGAACACAAACTATACTTAAAGCACATTCCTAAATCCTCAGATAATGTAAGAAGACTCGAGAGCAAATCAGCGACAACATTACATTTGATAGGATCGGGTCAAACATTTGATTTCGATGGCACTAGCATCCTTCAAAAAGGCTTTAATTTTTACAAAGACAGACTACCGGGCGAAGCCCTATACATATGAGCCAAATCCAGACAGTATTAATAGGAGAGATGGAACACAATTAGCTGTCTCATGGCAACTAATAATTAATAGGTAAACTTGAACTATCTCGTATTATCTGAGTAACAGAAATTACATTCAACGTTTCTAATCAATTATCTTATCTAAATATGTTAAACAATTAACTGGAACATTAGAATAACATAAACATTCATTTGCAAATACATTTTCCATCTTTCAATTCATTTCATTATCTCCATTCTATGCATGCTGTAACATTTTTGATTCATATCATTTATAAGAAAATTATATGTGTTCTTAAAATTCACCGACCAGAGACAATATATAATGAATGAAATTTATTCTTCTCACTTACGTATATACACAGTCTGTTATCTTAACACTTTTCATTTCACACTACATGCCTCTTGCACACTAATGTAAATACCTAGTTTAAACATTGTTAACGTTGATTGAATGACCTATACAGTCAGTATACAGTAAATCGGAGAACCAAGTACTTAATTATATTCTATAATTTTGATGTTTGATTATATTTCGTTGAAAAAGCTTGAACCAGATTGCCAGGTGAAACGTTGGATTTGCTTCAAATTCATTCGGTGAGATTTTACAAATATATTTTTCCTCATTAATGTCTCACATCAACTCGGTGCTCAAATACTGTGAAACTATTCGATCAAATTTAGACGATAGTTTTTATTTATATATACATATATTTATTACGTGATTTTAATATAATTGTCTAGTTAATGGCTATTGGTTGATTCAAAAAAGAATCCTGAATCTATTAATGAATTCAGATTGTTAGAAAAAATATTCTTTTATATAATTAACGATTGACTGAATCGCCTATTTTGTTAGTAAAACCCACTACAACAGCAATACTTGGACTCATGTACGTCCAGCTGGTGAGTTCTTAAGTAAAATGAAACATGAGTCCTGAATTTCACTACTGGACACCATCCAACAATTCGCTCTTCTGAGGAGTCCCACAATAGGACTAAATAGCCGTCCAGTGCTTCCAGGTTTTCCATGGTGGACTATCTTCAATCGACTCATGATTTCAACCATTCAATGCTTATATTAACTAATATTATTCACAAGCGTTTCAGAAATATTTCTTGTGTTTTTATTATTACAGATATAACAGATAATGAAACGGAAAGTTTCAAATTGGAACAAAATAAACTTAATGTAAACAATACCGTGGAAAGAGAGGAACCTTATGATACTTTAAATAACAATGATAATTCATGTAAGTATAAAGAAGCAACTGATTACAAACTATTTCTTCAATGTGATAAACAATTTCATGAAAGTCTGAAAGACAATATGAGTGAAAATTCGAATAAAACGATACTTAGCGACTTGAATAATGGGTGTACAATAGGATATTTCAAATCACTAGAATATCCAAATTTACTACAAAATGATTCATCTCTATCCATAATATCAATTAATTCACTTAATACTAAATCTATTTCGAATAATAATGCACAAATAAATGATAAACAAAAATGTCAAGAACAACATAATACTACTAATATTCAAAATTCAATCAGTTGTTTAACATCTCCAATTGATCAATTTGAAATAGATTCAATTTTAGTGATTCAGTCGTCCAATATAAATAATAATAGTCAATCACAATCAAACTTTATACCATTAATTGATAATGTTCAAAGCTATTCAAATCCATTAAAACACAATGTGTATGTACAATGTAATATGAATTGTGAACATTTGAACAAACTTCAACACCAAGAAAATGAAATTGATTATTTAGACAAAAGTTTAAGTGTAAAATTTGAAGTATCAAAGGGGATAACTATGAAAAATAAGGATAAATATGATGAAATAATGAAATTATCAGAAAAAATTCCTATTATCTCAATGAGTAATCGTAAAATGATAGATTTTACAAAGCATGATACAACTACTTGTTCAGAAATCAATCATGACAAAGAATATTTATCTTTAAATTATTTTCAATTTGACCAAACATCCTGTGAAAAGTTTCAGTTGCAATCAGGTCATGATCCATTTGATCTAGATAAAACTAAACAAACTGACTTTAATGAGGAATATAACAGACATGATCAAATTAACCATAGAAACTTAATGGATACATTTTCACAAAATAATGATGAATATGAAATTATGTCTGTTAATCATGAATTGAATTGTCAATCAGAAGGACCAATTAGCATTGATATTAATAAAGATAGATATATCTATACACCTATTTTAATGGAAAAACTTGATAGCCCCACAATTAATACAACTGATGTAATCCAATCAATTCAAACTGTGAAATGTATGAAAGCAACTAAATCATATTGCATCGGACAAGTCTTAATAAAAGATACTAGTGAAATGGAAATGAATAAAAAATATATAGGTAATAAAGATATGATCGAGAAGGATAATATTTTGGATAATTATAAAAAATCAATGTTAATAGATAATGAACCTTCAAACCAATCCACTGTGACTAAAACAATCAGTGAATGTACCACAAAATTTCATAGGCCAATATATGTTCAGGTAGTAAACAGTTTACATCATGAGTAACATATTACATTTCAATTTCTAAATTTGGATGATATAGACCATATTTATGTATATATTATTATCATCAGTTCAAAAGAGTATACTATTACATCAATATGATTTAAATTGTTTTTAATAATATACTATAGATATTGTTGAGGTTGAAAATAGTAGTTTATGTGATAATTTGTAGCAAAAATTAGGTAATCGTAAGTCAACAGAAAAGTAACACATTGTATGAATATGAAATAAGGATTTTACGATTATGGTTAATTTGATCTAAGTATACAAAACAAATTCTTGACAGAATTTTTACAAATTTTCATTAAAAACGGAATTTTCATAAATTTCAGTTCAGATGATTAGATAATTGTAGATATTTTAGTTTAATTTTATATTAGTATCAGAAGGGGTTTTGTGGAGATTGTAGTAATTTCAATAGTTGGGATCATGAGTCAGTTGAAGTTAGACCACAATGGAAAACCTGGAAGCACTGGACGGGTGTTTCGGCCTACTGTGGGACTCCCCAGCAGTGAGCATCCACGCGGGATTCGAACACAGGAGCTATCAGTCTTACGCGGGCGCTAGACCACTGAGCCGGCATCAAACGGTGTTAATGTCTAACTTCAACCGATCCACGAAATTGAGCGACACATCCACCATAGTCTTCAGTGAGTTTCTATCTCACAAAAGACCCGGTTGAACTCCATTTGTCACTGCTTTTCACTAGAACTCAAGGAAATACCTCTTGAAGCCAGTCACTAGTGGGCATACTTTGATTAGTACCAGAAGGGGTTTTGTGATAGCAAATATCTATGAGACATTTTTATTTGACTTCTAAACGTGAGTAATGGGAAAAAATAATACGTTTTGCTTCTAACAGTCTATATATTTCTCACCATTATTAAAAATACCATGACAAACTGTTGTTTTCGGACACCTGTCCTAATTTGTTATTGACAAACAAGCTTCTAATATGCAAACACGACCTTCTTTTTCAGTGAGAAAACTAAGAGAGAGTAGAAAATCAAAACATATGAACAAACTCATTGATATGTATATATATTTAAATATATACCACTCAGAAAATTATACTGTATTTCCAACCAATAGTATATATATATATATATATATATATATATGTTGTCTTGAAAAATCATGCACCACCACGATCAATAGTGAGTGTTCATTAGCAACTCATTCGTAGATTGGCCTTGAATTGATGTAACTGACTGGTCTAGGCTATCATTAGTTGTAATTTTTACAAATACCTACTTTTATCTTTCTAACATAATATCTTAGCAGTCATGTTCTATGATTAGCCTTTTTTACTCAAATATCGTCTTTAATTGTAGCAGTAAATAAATCCTCAAAATAAATAGCTCTGTAAGTTTTCGACATTGGATGCTGACCACATTAGTTTTAATGGACTCACTTGGCTAAAGGCGCTCGGTCATAAATCCGCGCCAGATCACGAGTGAGAACGCCGTGCTCAACATCTACTGCAATCGCTAGCCAGATTGGATCAGACGATTCTCGATATATTGATAGCCTATCAAATATATCTTCGAACCTCCTCGCTTCTGTCTTTTGATTTCACTTGGTGGATAAGATTCAGGTTAGAAGGTGTTACTGGTTAAAGCGTTGTCAAACTCCGAATACCTGTGGCATATTCATAATAAACCTACTAAGGTAAATTAGCTACTAACGCAGAAACACCTCAAGTTAATAACATATACAGACTGCTTTCTGGTTAAATCAACGGGTGTGATCAATTACCAAGAGGGAGAATTCGATGAGGATTAAAAGTTAAATAAACCTGAATTTTATCCAACTTTAATCTATCAGGTTGAATATACAAAAAAATTAAAAACTCAATAGCTGGAAATTACATTTGTCATCGTAACTGGTAAATCGCAATAATACATGATGCCAAATAACCGATTAACTGGATGTATGGATTTTGGACACCCTGGCGTTTGTGTCATAACTTGTGTGAACATCATCTCCTTGATCTCACCCCCTAGATTTACAAAATTTCTCAGTATGATTTTATTTGTCCCCCGCCTAAACCAAAGAATTAGGATAGACTGGCCACGGGGTTGGTGTAGGCCGGACTAGGGGTCATCGATTGTTGTAGCTTTAGGGTATGACGTCGAAATTTACACGGCAGAACGACCACAGTTTAGATCTAGCGGAATAGGACTTTCAGTCAAATGACACTAGCTTGTTAAATGAAATATAGTCGAAATCCACAAATTATAAAAATGCACTAATACTAGCAACAACTGGGTTGTTTAATTAATAGGAAATAACCTGAGTAATTTAGAACTCTCCATAGGTAAAGAACGGCAATATAAGAGGTAGATTATAAGAGGAGGTGAGATTAATTCCATGACGCCTCACCGAAATATGTTAGGGTGGTAATAATTTCCTGGAATATGCACTTTAGTAAGCACTCGACACAGATACTGACCCAAGCTTTGCAGTCAACGTAGCACTGCCACAACACACACATTAACAAGCGCAGACGGTGAATGTCAGAGTGTTGATAGCTTCGGCGGTAGTAGGCCAAGCACTCAAGGAAAGCAACTAAGACCTAATCAACTGTTGTGATGAGGATCTGGAAGAAATGAAAGCCTGTACGCAGCTGGGTCGCACCACTGATAAACAGCAAGGACCTGGTGCAGATATCAAGGCAAGAATTAACAAAACAAGAAAAACATTTCTACAAGTGAGGAGAGCTGTAAACTCAAAACAACTATCACCTAAGATCAAAGTTAGAATGTGCGACAATAGAATTTAAACACTTTTGTGATGCGGGGCTGAAAAAAGAAAGATCACCAACGTCCTCACCAATAATGTACAGATATTTATAAATTGTTGTCTGTGTCGAATGAGCAGATATATCGTACGGAGTAATAATGTACTCTGACAAAGAACAAACTAGCTGCCAATGGAAGACAAATATATAAAAGACGATCGGGGTGGTTGTGACACACTTTTGGAAGTCATCAAACTGCCTCACAACAAAGCTGCAAAACAGAATTCTCAAGAAAGAAAAAAAGGCGGGCCAAAGAACACCTGGCTCTGAGAGTTAGAGTTAGACATTTGAACTACTTTAAGAGCTTAGTAACAACAGGAAAGAAATGTCCAAAACCAGAATGTTTAGCATGATCCCACTGCCATAAAGGCGTCTGTGTTATCATAAAAAGTGAATCAGTTCCTGGAAAGCTAAGTTTGGCAAAAATTAATACAGAAACTTAGTGGGTTTACGAATAGTAGGGTAATTACCGGACCATGGGGAATTTAGTTTGGTAATGTTCGATGATCGCACGCAATTATACTTTCTTCAAACATTGTTCTACGCCTGGAGTAATGCCATCGAGTGATTGGATTACCTTTATTATATTCCACAGACAAATAACATGAACGTAACAAAAAAACATGTGGGTAAAATCTTCATCTAGTACCCACTAGCTAGTCACAATAATTTTGAATACACGTAAAATATCATTCATTGAGGACAAGTAAGCAAAAAATATGAGTAAACACCATCCTTAGCTACATGTAACGGAGTCTATTGGAGGGACAAGATACACTGCTGTATGGGCCGATCCATGGCGTTCAGTTAATTGATGCATGTTTCACCGTCCTTGATTTTGGCGCGGATCGGTTGACTGTTCGATATTTAGTTACCCGACTGATGGATGATCTGCTTAGGGCTCAATGACATTGTAGAAGTTGGGTTGAAGAATGTAGAAATATGATCTACTTCGGTGTTATTACTACTGTTATAGTAGATCTAATTGCAAAATTGTAGTTGTCATTATTTGACTGCCTACAAATTGCGATCCAGAAATATTCATTCAATAAATGTTAACTTTATTAACAGATTTCAGAGTTTTTATCTTGAACACTTGCTTAACTAACAACTACTTGAGGGTCTAGTTATTATATCAGTGCAGTACCATAATATATTAATGAGGTGACTTTATCATCTTAACTACATTAAGCGTCTTTAAAAGCAACTAATATGATAGCCTAATTCATGAACACATATACACCTAACGATAATGACTATGATGTGTTTAGATGACAACTCAAACTACATGAAAGATGCATCAACCTTCTACTTTATGCGTAGACAAATTGATGAAATTACTCCAGAGCCGTTTTAAACTCTCCTTGAAGAGTACTCATGGTCTTATTTTGAAGCGCACAATGTTGTTGCACTCCCTCTCCTTAAAAGAAATACAAACCTTTCAGACCAAGTGTAGAGACGAGTAGCAAAGTGGGTGGTAGATATGAAATAAATCTTGCGAATACAGAATCCACCACCTGGGATTACTATCACTGATTGATGGGAGAATATGAAGTGGTTTGATAATGGCATACTACATAGTATGTACGCCAAATCACCCCAACAAGAACTTCCTTCCTGAAAACCACCAGCTTAAAAGATTGCACATCAAAGGGCTAATACCCAGGCACGATCTCAATTTTTCCCATTATGGGTTCCACCCATTTAGAATGCTCTATCAGCCGAAGTGATCATGGCCCTCAGTGTACAGCTTTCAATTCCATCTTCTTACACATTACCAATATATTGACTTATTTGTTATTCTTGCAATGTTCCTCTTCTCTTAGAACTCAAATTGTCGTTACTGTAGTCACATAACAACCAGTAAACCTCCTATCTGGCATTAGACAGCTGCTGGTATCCGGAAATCTAACTACCACGAGACGCACGCACTCACTCAAATAAATAACGAACTGACTGAAATTATTGCAGTCGAGTTGCTAGACTACCACTCGTTGGACATAAACAAATACCTAGAACCGTACTGAAACTACAAGAAGCGAGGTAAAGGTATCAATTGGTTCATGCAAGCTCGTGACAAAGATATTGGGCTCGGTTTTCAACTTTTGCGTTACTTCAGCAATGAAGAATGATGTCCTTGTTGATTTCTACTTGGTTAGTATTAAAGCACAAATGTGTGAACTACAGTTGGTAGGACTTAACGAAGATGATACACAGTATGGAGTAAGTTAAACTTGTAAAATTATAAAAGATTTTGGGACTAACGTGTGTAAATGAGATTGGGTTCTCCTAGATATAGGTGATATTCTCATTTTAGTTGCGGATATTAAACTTGTTCTATGGATCGGATAGATAACAAAACGTCGTCGCTCTTCTGTTCTACTGGATGATATCTACGGTACTTTAAATTTGCAACAGCCACCCTTCATACCGAGGCTTCCACAAAGTTCATTTGTTTGAGTGACCAACGTACTGTGATTGTGACAAAATTTCGAGATCATTGTTTAAACTCTTTGTTCTGTTGTTCTATTTCATTGTCCTGCTATGCTGTTAAACACTGGAAATTTATTTGCATGCCTAAGGACATTTGAAGTTGTTTGCTAATATGCATCAATTTTGTTCTCATAGTATAACAATAAGGACAAGTCGCTTTGTGAAAAAAAATTAAGGGACGTTAAGTCACTACTGCTGATTGCTGCTTTTCTCGCACTAGTGTTACCTTCATCTCAAGCAGTATACTTAGATATATACTGAAATAATATGACCTTATACAGTTGTTTGTTTAGTAAAGTTTTTTTATTTTATTTTATTTTAACACATAGGTATAGGTACAAGGAGGCACCAAGTCCATATGTGCCACACGAATCTCAATTAATTTGTGTGAGGGCTGTGATACTGCCCGGGTGCCCGAACTGAAGCAGGTGGTTTTCTTAGGGGGTCACACCCCGAGTCTTCGACCTGAACGTCTGACCCACAAGGCAGTGGAGCATCGTAAGGAGATGCAGTCCCATGGTAGCCGGTAACCAACGATTGGTTCATACGCCATTTGATCCTTCAGGATACTGGGGCCCATGTGCACCATTGATTTGGAATCCGGTTAAAGCGCCGGAAATTCGCTTTTCGTCCTCTCATTTTCGTAAACAACACCCCCGCCACGTGAAGGCAATGAGTAGGACTTCCCTGGCAGAGGCTATATACGCGTGTCCATGTGAGAGCATTTCGAGAGGGAGAGCGGGCTCTCCACACTCTCGGCCGTACCAGGGCATTTGGGGGCGTTTAGTCAAGTTACCGTACTTCATTTCAGTAAATCTAGGAAGGATAAACAAGTAAAACGGAAATAAGCAATACGACTACCATAAGTAGTTAGGAGACGGAATATCAATATTTCTTAGCCCTCAGTCCCACTGTATGCAAGCATTGTTTCAAAGAAATCTCTAATTTGACTCTGTAATGTATACATACTCTAGTCTAAAATAGCTCTTTCCCAGCACAGGATAAATAGCAGGCTGAGACGACATGTTCAAACCGCAGATATTACCCAGTTGCAACCTTCAGAAGATTTCTCTTACGGAATTATGAAAAGCCCAAAATAGGGTAAAGCACTAAAATACGAGTGTCTGTTACATACTAGAGATCGTCTTTATTAAAGCTTGCTAACCTCAAACCCATGAAAACAAAGGAGGTCATAGATTTATACAAGTTCACTGACAGGACGTTTCCTTTTTCCGAAGCATTGAAACAGACATATTTATTATCTCTTTGCAACTACAGTTTTTCATAAACTCACGATAATATCAGACTCTGTTAACTCAGAATTCTTTGGTGGTGTTTAATTTCAAAAACATGTCGAACATCCTTATTATGTCGGTAAAACCCTTGAAATTCACATATTCGCTAAAGAACTTACGAAGACTGTCATTTCATGTTGTGAGATATATAGTTCATTATTGAGTTTCACTTCATCCATCCCTACTCACCATTGTCATAGACCATTCCAAACAATGTTCACAGCCCCGCCTTCAGCACTGCTTAGTCTACCAATATATAAAAGTATTTTGATAGATGCATTAGTTTTGGTAAATCAGATACCGCTGAAATATTAGTACAAATAAGGAACAAAAAGGCTTTGTCATTTTTCCTTTTGCAGTACTGAGAAAATGCCGACTATTCATCAAGAAGCGATCGTATCACTCATTACTCAGCTTCACGTTATTCTACATATAACCGTCAAGTTGTTTGCAAATTACGGATACCCAACCGGGTCTACCTAATATGCAATAGAACCACCAAATAAATAGTGCTTTATTTATTTTATTTTATTTTAACACATAAGTATAGGTACAGGGAGGCACCAAAATACATATGCGCCACACAAATCTCAATTGATTTGTGTGAGGGCTGTGATACTGCTCGGGTGCCCAAACCGAAGCAGGTGGTTGTCTTAGGGGGCCACACCCCGAGCCTTTGACCTGAACGTCTGACCCACAAGGCAGTGGAGCATCGTGAGGAGATGCAGTCCCATGGTAGCCGGTGACCAACGATTGGTTCATACGCCATTTGTTCCCGCAGGATACTGGAGCCCATGTGCACCATTGGTTTGGGGTCCGGTTAAAGCGCCGGAAATTCGCTTTTCGTCCTCTCATTTTTGTAAACAACACCCCCGCCACGAGAAGGCAGTGAGTAGGACTTCCCTGGCAGGGGCTATATACGCATGGCCATGTGAGAGCATTTCGAGAGGGAGAGCGTACTCTCCCCACTCTCGGCCGTACCAGGGCATTTGGGGGCAAATAAATAGTGCTGGTGTTATGTGTAACGTTTTAGGCGAGGATTGAAATTCGGTTAATCTTTTTGTAAAACTGTTTTAATTAGTGATAGATCTTTTCATTTTTGTATTGTGATATAAATTTGCAATTCTGAGTTGATATGATTAAGTATCAGTCACATAAAACCTATCTCGGTATTTTGTTCATATGGTAGTATTTTTTTGTTGATCAGGTCGTAATGCGAGCTGTTGAGTCTGTTCGACGCGAAGTAGGCTCAATCACATTTCGTTTACTTAATGCTGCTCTACCTACAAACGCTCGTCACAAACGTCTTTTTCGAACCAAGTATATTGAAGACGTGGACTTACGAAATATCGAAAACTGCCTGTTGTCAGCTGCAAACAAAGTAATTAATTTTAATTCAAGGTAAGCCGTTTTCCAACCTTCATGATTAGCTTGGGTGTATTTCGCTTCATTAGGAGGCTTACCAGCGTCCTTAACTTGAGGTTTTTCCAAAGAACCCTTATCAAAATGAATTGCATTGTTCTAACATCACAGCTCAGATTGGCTTACTCTTGAAAAAATAAGTCAATCGTCTGCTGGAAACAATCGTTGATCTTTGATTTGTACACAACTTGGCCACAATTATTTGACAGCACATACATTTGATCTGTTCGATAAAGTCGAAGACAGCTAATGGAAATATCTCCGCAAACCAACGTACATTCATTTCGTTATAACTTCACTTCGACTCTAGAAATTTTGAGTAATGAACACATAAACACTATTAGCTTAGTTTTGGTCCGAAATAACGAACTAATCATCCTTTTACATTATTGTGTAGAGAGACTAAATTTTAAGAAAATACGGGTTTCAAAAGACAGTGTACCTTAACTAGTATATTGCCCTTAAATGCCCTGGTACGGCCGAGAGTGGGGAGAGTCCACTCTCCCTCTCCAAATGCTCTCACATGGACACGCGTATATAGCCTCTGCCAGGGAAGTCCTACTCACTGCCTTCTCGTGGCGGGGGTGTTGTTTACGAAAATGAGAGGACGAAAAGCGAATTTCCGGCGCTTTAACCGGATCCCAAAACAATGGTGCACATGGGCTCTATTATCCTGAGGGAACAAATGGCGTATGAACCAATCGTTGGTGACCGGCTACCATGGGACTGCATCTCCTCACGATGCTCCACTGCCTTGTGGGTTAGACGTTCAGGTCGAAGACTCGGGGTGTGGCCCCCTAAGAAAACCACCTGCTTTGGTTTGGGCACCCGGGTAGTATCCCAGCCCTCACACATATCAAATGAGATTTGTGTGGCGCATATGTATTTGGTGCCGGCATGTACCAATATCTATGTGTTGAAATAAATAAATAAATGACTGGTATATTATAGTTCCTTAAGTCACGTGGATTTTGTTTCCATTTATTTATTTATATTTATTACTACTATTATTATTTAGTCAATATATTTTATGACGAAGTGGTAGCTAAGAGGTTTAAACCTGAAAGTCACAATTTTAATCTACCAACCAATTATTAGTGGTATTAGCCGTCCTAATCAATGAAAAATGACTTGATTAATGAGTTCAGTTACAGTGTGAGTAACCAATAGATCTATCCTGCTGGAAATTTTCATGACAATAAAACTTACGTCCTGGATTATTTTGCTAACCTCTGCGTAATACTACTTGTTTATGATTTTATTGAGAATAATTCAATGGTAATAATACTATTTTGTACATTTTCCAGCCAGTTCCATGTCGAATGTGATCTAAGACCTGCTAAATCAAGCGCCTCAGAATTTTTAGATACACATGGTCGTGTTCAGGCACTTGTTGCCCATACTATTGAATCATGTTTAGATAGCTTGTCTTCAAACCACACTGAAGATGGAAAACTGAAACTCGACGAACAAACATCAAATAATTCAACAGAACAGGACAATGTTCAATCAAGTTATAATATCCCGTGTAAAACGAAAGATATTTCAGGTTGTCAGAGGAAAAATATTCAGGGAAATAGAAGTAATCAGTTTTTGAGTTTTTCTTGAAAATTATCCAGTTTTCTTATCTTTTAAGAACATCATGTCATATAACTTCATTTACACAGAACACATTTTTACACTCTGTAAACAATTTTACCACAAAATCGATATCCATTCTTTAAGTGACTATAGTTTATCATTAGATACTACGATAATTCTAGACTGTGCTAAATAGTTTAATTTTTCATGTAATTGTTTACTGACTCAGTTTATTTTCATTCTGATATTTCTTTCATGCCTTTCTTGTATCCTAGCCACCTAATTTTTGTTCGTGTAATTATCCAGACCAATATGATATCCTTCAAAATTTTATCGCATTGTACGTTATATATAGTCTGGATCTTTTGTTTTTACAGATAATCTTTATTTCTATTCACTACTTCTAGAATATAATTTCAATTATTTGTTCTTATTAGTCCCAATATCAGTTAGATACCACTGTTCTGATTAGTACTAACTTTCGTCAACACACATTTATGTTAGGTTTCAAGTTTTCAATCACTAACTGTTCTGAACGACAATACATAAAGCCATTAGAGAGTTTAGAAAATACTCCTATTTTACACATGAAAGCTTTAAATTCATGCTCATGTGTTGGTACTCACCTCATAATCTCAGTATGTTTGCTCCTAATTTTTATTTGATTATATTTAAAACCACTTTTGACTTAGTAATGGGGTTCAATATGTTGTTTATACTGTTTGCACTATTATTATATAATTTGGTGTTGTGTAGCGCAACTGTCTTTGATGTATTATCTAATTTTTTTAGTACCAGCACTCCTACCAACACTATTTACGTCACTTGTGACCGAAACTCTTTGTTTAGGGTCCTCTCAATTTTATGCTAATAATAATAATTTATTCGGACGTTACTCTACAAGGTATTAATACCAAGACTGGAATCTATGGTTTCAAATAAACTGAGTATTGGCTATAAAATTAATAGTAATAATGTTTTTATGATATCCCAATGAGCAGAAATTTAAATTTCTGACGTTACTTGACTCGACGTAACTCTCTTTGTCAGAGTATTTATATTTATTTATTTTATTTTAACAGGGTAAATAAATAAGTAACTGAATATAAGCCATAAAACATCATAAATCCGAATTTCTACTTATTGGGATGTCACAAATATATAGTTATTCGTTACCTTACGAAGTTAGGGTTAGCGCGATTGAATTGACGTATTTCAGGGGTTTCTCATAATATGACTGGCTCAAAACATAGTGGTACGTAAACCTTTATGTGTCTGATAAATTTCACTTATTTTCCTTGATTAATACATAAACTTTCAACCAACTGATGATTTGCATTAATTATTATGTTGGTTTTTGGTTTGGTTCACTGCAATACCACAATTTAATAGGGATTTGAAACAATCTAGTCATATTCCTATTCTTCTTTCAGATTTAGTTGAAGGGGATTCCAGTGAATTTTTCAACACGCATAGGATAAATTCACCCCGATTGTCATCGCCTGTTTCAAGCGATTCCAGTCATTCGAATTCCTTGGAACAACAATCAACTGTAATAAGTGATGAAAATTCTAAAATAATCAATGTATCTGTACAACTTAGAATAGCTTCATTTATTTACGCAACACCAGTAAAATTGCCTTCATCAAAATTTCTAACAATTTCACCAGAATTATTTCATACTCTACTAGAATTAGACTATTGTGCCGCACGATTTGAATTTGATTTTGTACGATGTGTTTCACGTCGGATTAGAACATTACAAGAGGCTGATGATGTTCAGGTAGGTAAAAAAAACTACTATATAAAATCATTTGCTTTTGTTTTAATCCAATTTTTGAGCTCCTAGTGATATGATACCGAAGTCTATAAGTTCAGTTGTTATTTCTAATAAATCAAAAAAGTACTGTGCATATGTTATGAAATGAGGATTTCAAACATAAACTGAATACATGAATGTAGTTTTGAACATAATCACATGGTATTATGTAAGAACAAACAACGTGTGTTTAGTGATTGATGGTACTAACCATTCTGTAGGACAAGACGATTTAAAAATGTGACCCTGTTTTATAACAAAATGTCTTGTAACGATATATGTTCTGAGACTGTTTCCGTTAATTTATGATCCTTTATCTGCATTTGCATTCATGTGCCACGCTTAATTAGTGGTTACCATTACCACACACTATGTATAAACGTTCTTAGCTAAATTTATTGTTATTCAGTTTCCTAACTAATATTTACAAAATAAGATGATATTTGGCTAACTAATTTACCATCTACTAACATGTTTAATTCGCTAGCTTATCCCTTTCCTACAAACAGTTTGTCTTAACATTACGTTCCTGAACCTATCTTTGAAATCTAGTTTATTACAATTGATGCATCCAACAAAATTCGATCGAACATAATCATGTTTCTAATGTTTAATATTCGTTATTAACAGAATTCAGTTACATGTAAGAATCTGATTGGTACCTAGACTGATATCAGGAAAGTTGCTCATGTACACATAATCTGTTCCACCAAGTGGTCATTCACACAGAACATATGCATCTTAGCAATAATTTCTATGCCAGTGAATGTGTAAAGAAAGCTCGATCAAAGTGCGAAGAAATCGGTGTGAGAAACGATGCCTTTTCGTCATCTCCGCCTGTGCTCCGATAGAATGTAGCCCGGATGCGATCAAGGATGATTTTTACCACCAGTTGAGTGTTCAGCTACAGAAAGTTAATTCAACAGATATTGTAGTACTGGCTGGTCATCTAGGCATAGAAGAGAGTCGTTTAGGTGGTCGATGGGGACTTGTTGGTCACAAGTCAGATAACGGTGACTATCTACTGCAACTGTGCGCAGACCACAGCCTGTTTCTGGCTAGCACTAACCACCGATGTTCTATCTTCCGTCTTCCCTCTTCATCTCATACCTGGACTCAGATTGATCACATCGCGATCAGTTGTCGCTAGCGTGGTTGTGTATTGGGCTGCTGCTCCTTTTAGAGTACCTATCTAGACTTTGACCATACCCTTGTTTGTGCTGATCTTACCTTACGTTTCAGTGGCCAACAGATCCATCGTCCTAAACGGATCGATGTCAGCAAATTGGTTTCAGCTTCTGTTGCAACTAAATATCAAACCGAGCTAGGTTCAAGACTAACCGCCATTCCACAGAAAGCCCCCAAATGCCCTGGTACGGCCGAGAGTGGGGAGAGTCCACTCTCCCTCTCCAAATGCTCTCACATGGCCATGCGTATATAGCCTCTGCCAGGGAAGTCCTACTCACTGCCTTCTCGTGGCGGGGGTGTTGTTTACAAAAATGAGAGGACGAAAAGCGAATGTCCGGCGCTTTAACCAGATCCCAAACCAATGGTGCACATGGGCTCCAGTATCCTGCGGGAACAAATGGCGTATGAACCAATCGTTGGTGACCGGCTACCATGGGACTGCATCTCCTCACGATGCTCCACTGCCTTGTGGGTCAGACGTTCAGGTCAAAGGCTCGGGGTGTGGCCCCCTAAGACAACCACCTGCTTCGGTTTGGGCACCCGGGCAGTATCACAGCCCTCACACAAATCAATTGAGATTTGTGTGGCGCATATGTATTTTGGTGCCTCCCTGTACCTATACTTATGTGTTAAAATAAATAAATAAATAAATAATTCCACAGAAAAGTATAGATGAGCATTAGTTGCAATTGCATGACGCCATAAAAATGGCGAGTAAAGTCGCTTGCGGCCTCGCGAAACGTCCCGCTTATAAGCACTGGGTTTCTACAGGCTCCTTACAACTCATTGAAGCAGGTCGGTCTACTTTGGGTAACCGTAAGTTTGGCCATAAACGAAGATCCTACATAATGAAATTGGGAAAAGCTTGCGTAAGGACCGAGAAACCCGGTATTCGGAGCGTGCTAACTAGTTGGAATCAGCAGATGCTTTTAGCAGCTTCCGGAAGCTCTTTCAACTCATCCGAGTCACTGGCAGCAAGACATCTGGTGTGAGTGAAACAATGTATGGAGATGAAAGGATGCCGATGAGTAACATCTGCCGACGTCTTGGACGATGAACAGTTTTCTGAGGGGAAGTTTAACAAATCTGTTGCCCCGGTAACATCGATCAGATTGTCCTGTCCTTCATGTCCGTTGACGACTAATCCGCTTAACGAGACGGAAGTTCTCGAAGAACTCCAACTCATGAAGCGCCACAAATCACCAGGCTCAAGTTACTTACCTCCGACTCTTTTTAAAGATGGTGGCGACTTTATAGTTATGGAACCGACTGAGTTGTTTACAAAGATTTGGCAATTAGGGCGTGTTCCAACATCATGGAATGAGTCAATAGTTGTTCATATCTTTAAAAAGGGTTCACGTCATTTCTACAACAACTATGGGGGGATAAGTCTTCAGATTGCGTCCAAACTATTGGTTCCCATCATACTTCGTAGGTTGTTCAAAACCCGATAAAAACTGACTCGCGAAAAGCAGCCTGGTTTTCGTTCTGGTCGACGATGTATTGATCACATCTCCACCCTCCGCCAAATGTTAGGGCACTGTCATACTTGTTACAGACCAACAATCGTAGTATTTCTTGACATTAGGGCTGCCTTCGATTCATTGGACAGGATTATTTTCTGGGATTGTCTATTGAGGAAGGGTGTGTCTGAGAAGTTTATTAACATCCTGAAAGCCCTATATACTAACACCTCAGGCAGAGTGAGGGCATACAACCACCTCTCCTGATTATTTCATTCAAGCAGTAGGGTTAAGCAGGATTTCCCAATCACACCATTCCTCCTCAACTTTGCTGTCGATGACGTTCTGGAAACAACTCTGATGTAAGTAATGGTGGTGTGGATCTGTTGCCTGGACAAAAACTTCTCGACCTTCAGTATGCGGATGATATTGTCTCATTGTGCGATGATACCAAAGCCATGCAATCCACACTTAATCAGTTGGCAGTCAGTGTCCGTGGGTACGGCATGTGCTTTGCACCTTTCAAGTACAAATTGGTTCTACAAGACTGGCAGGACCCTGAACCTGCACTCACCCTGGATAGTAAGCAGATAGAAGTAGTCAAAACGTTCGTGTATCCGGGTAGCTGCATAAGTTGTGGTAGAGACGTGAGTGATGAGATCGATTCACGTATATTGGAAGCCGGAAGGGCTTATTACAATATGGGCCATCTTTGGCGCCTTCCTGATGTTAGTCTATGTATATTTTATCAGTATGGGGATTTGTGGAGATCGCAGTACTTTCACAGTAGAATTCACGAGTCGATCTAAGCTAGACCACCACTAAAAACCTGGAAGCACCGGATGGCCGTTTCCTTCTAGGATGGGACTCCTCAGCAGTACACATATACCACACACGCGGGACTAGAACTCTGGGCGTGTGGTCTTGCATGAACTCAACCTGTAGACCACTGAGCCGGCACCTAACGGTGTTAATGTCCATGAAGGGTTGCTCAACCCTTCATTCATTGTTTGAGGTGGGTAACTATCTCACATCTAACATGGATTGTACTCCACTGTTTACGGCTTCTCATTAGAACTCTAGAAGTTACATCTTGAATCTAGTCACTAGTGAGCACATGATTGTTATCAATATGGGGACGTTAACACCGTTGGATGCCTGCTCGACGGTCTGGAGGTTAAGAGTTTGCGCGCAAGACCGAGCGTCCTGGGTTCGAGTCTCGTATGCGAGATCGTGAATGCACACTGCTGAGGAGTCCCATACTCGGATGACTGACTGACATATTCTTTAGACGTTTTAAATTATTTTTGTAATGCAATAAATTTTTATTCCCTAGATAATTAATCATTCCATATTTGTCATATGATGCTGATATGCTAAAAATATTTAATGGTAGTACTATATTTCAGAGCTTATTTATACATGAAACAAATCTATCATAAGATAACTACATATATGTTAATGAACATTAGGGTTCCATGTGTGTGGGTGTGTATGTAACTAGCATATTCAACTTATGTAAGCATAGATCTTATTGTTTTCGTTAATAATTCACATTGTAATGTATTCATTCATACCACAAAGTTGATTAAACAATATATACATGTATTTCTCATACAAGGTCAGTTCATGTCAAATGATTGTCTCAGTTTCTCGTAATATACATGTATATATAATTCCATATTTATGTTAAATAATGATTAGTTTACGTTAGAAAACTTACATTCTAAACGAACAACAAAATAACACAATAAAGCACTTAAATATTAACAGAAAATATAGTCAATTCAAAAGAGCTGACTTTGTAGTTTGAGATGGGCTATACGTAATCTGCATGATTAGGAGATTCTTTTACTATGAAATGGACCTATATGAATTAGATAGACTTAATTAACTAGTATATTACAACACTTTAATAATAATTCGTACTTGAATAAAAACAATAAAGAATACTTATAAATAAAATGTACTCGATAGAGACCGCAAAAAGGTTTACTTAACATTCAAGTTCATTTGGTTGTCATTTGAATGTAAAATATTAGTGAATAAATTAATACAAATGAAAATTCACTCAAAGTCGTTGAATAAAATTCATTTTAAATCAATGTGAATTACAAAATTGATGTATTCTTAAGTGTTGTATTTGGGAACGAAACATATTCAACAGCCGGACACTTAAAATTTTGGATATCAACAACAAAAAACCTCAAACCTTTGTTAGTATCTTCATACCTGCTGAACGGGATATTGATTGTCTGAACTCCGTAGCTCAGTGTATAGCGTGTTGGACGTTTGGAGCGATAACCACTGGGTTCCTGTCTCGATGTAAACACCAACACCGGAGGAAAAGGTACATCCAACCGATAAGCTCCGAATAAAATGAGATTGGCTTTCACTACCGTCTATGGTTAAACTTAATGGCAATTTTAAGACACTCAGAATGTACATATACCAAAAATATAATTAATCAATTTCAGTTTTTAGCATCAACAACAGGAGAGACTCGGACAGTCATTGCAAATAAATCACAGTCATAGTTTTCTTATTACTTATCAACTTTACTATTATATTTTATAAATCCCGTTTTCTTCAACTTTGTATTCCTCTGTTACTATCACTATTATTTTCTTTTCCAGATAGTCACTGTACTATTCTCTGAAACTTTAATGTGGGGATTAACTGTTGAACTTCTATCCATACAACAATTAACTGATCGAGATCCATGTGTTTTACTCGCTTTACCTCGATTAAGTATATTAGTCGGTTGTCGTCTACTACCGGATTCTCCTATTGGTGCTAATCGTCTAGCAGTTGGGTAGGTAAATTTTATTCCCATAGCTAATTTTCTATTGTTTAATAATATTCATAATTTATACTTGTCTGTGTTAGTCAGTCATCGTTTTTAACATGTAGCATAACCTATGATGAATATCTTGTGAGAGAAGTTAGACATTGAAATATACCCGGAACAATAAGCTTTACAATGTAGTTTGTTTAAATACCTTCTAAATGTATGAATTATATTCGATTGTACATAAATATATCGATCGAAGCTGTTACGATATTTTCCTTACCATTAAAAGCTTTTATGTACAAAACGTTACAGTATGTAATATTTTGTGTTTACCATCACGGTGTCGCTAATATCGATTACTATTTTAAATTTACGTTCTGACCAGTAAAAAACAGAAAATAGATCGTCACTTTAACGTGGTGCTGTGTAAATGAGAGATAGTGCTGTACTTGGTCTGTATTCCAACATGTTTTGACTAACGTCTAGCACTCCCCGATCATGACACTTCACCCCATTCTTTCTAAATCAGAACAAAAATTGATAGGGAATAATCTATATTCTAATAACTTGAACAACAAAGACACTAACAAAAACAGTGTTTATATTAGAATTTACATAATCATCTTCCAACATCCTGATTGGTCCACTAGCGTTGATTGGCTGAGAATAAATTAATCACCCCATTCAAATTTGAGCCTTATCAGAATATACAAAAGTCAAAACTTTATCCTACAAACAAGATAAGATTCAGAAACTTTATGGGTTGTCCGATTTCATTTTTGCTAGTATCTCTCTATATTAATTTTGTATTCCATCTAAACAAAAGAATCAATAAACAATACCTTAATTTAAAAAATACATTTTGTATTTGTCTCCACATAAATCTTCCTTTCCTTTTACCTAAAGGATATTTGGAGCCCATCGATATAGTGTCCTGAACTATAGGTTTCATGCTTCGTGGAATACACATGATTAAAGCCTATCTTCAATTACGGTGAATCGAAAATTTCTCAAAATACATAGATTAATGTTTTCAAACTACTGACTTCAGTCACCGAAAATATAGTACACCGTGCGATGTTTCATCATTTATTTTAGTAATTAAACTAGATTCATTTTAATCGGCACAGTGTTTACTCAACTCTTAGGACTCCAGCAGTTACAGTTCTATCTACTTTTCCTCTTATTCCTATCTCATTTGGTTTTGTTCGATATCTATTTCTATATTTGGTTTTTAACCAGTTTTAGTGCATACTTTCTAATAATCATTTAGTGTGTACATTCTTGTCAGTCTAGTCCATTGACCAATATTCTGTTTAGTTGTTTTCGTTTATCTGGATTAGTTATACTAATTTCTAGCTCCATTGAAACCATGAACCGATCTAAGCCAAACCAGCATTGAGAAACTCGAAGCACTAGACGGCCGTTTAGTCTCAGTATGAAACTCATTAGCAGTGCGCATCCACAGTCCCGCTCGCGGGACTTGAACTCAGGACCTTTGGTTTCACACGCAAACTCTACTTCTAGACCATTGAGTTGGCATCTAACAGTGTTAATGTATAATTCACCGAAAAAATGAGATATAGTAGCGCAATGTCGTGGATTAATTAAAGTTAAACATTAACATTTGGTGTATCGGCTCAGCGGTCTAGACATAAACCGTTCGCGCGTGAAATCGATTCTCGCGAGCCAGACCGTGGATACGCACTACTGAGTAGTTCTATACTAAGATTAAACGGCCGTCTAGTGCTTCGAGCTTTTCAATGCTGGTTTGGTTTAGATCGGTTCATGATTTTAATGAAATTCCGCAGTCTCCACAACCCCATACTGATAATTTCTAGTTGTTTATTGTTATAAGTACAAATCATGGAAACCAATTTTGTCAATGTTGGGGACATTAGATCCCCAGCACTCATTTGGAAAAGGACCTAATTTTGTAACTTTATTTAGAAAATTTGAACATCATTTTCGCGCCAAAAGCGCTCTTGTCACCTTCATGTCATATTTCCCACTTGGGAAATATCTTAAATGCTATTGGTCCGTTGCGTCTTTTAGCATGCTATTCGGTAACTTTCCCCAAGGACGGTTTTCTGCTATATATATATATATATATATATATATATATATATATATATATATATATATATATACGTTTTGATTTGTGTTTTTTATCACTCGTTTCTGGCTGTTTGCAGAATATACTTCCCCATTCCAAGTTTGAACTTCTTCCTCTAGTTAGCGGGACTGCGGCGCATCAGAATATCTAGCTTATTGGTCTCCGGTCACAAGTCTTTGTTCCGTTCGTAGTCTAAGTGAACTCGTAATATCTTCGAACCTAGCAATCAACAAAGTATGAAATCGTTCGCTGGTCTTAATAGTTCTGTTGTTCTTAAAAACACCGAAAACTTTTCAAATGACAGGTTGTATGCGACTCCTGAAAAGTAGATAAACGTTTATTTCAACATCAACTTTCCAGTCACATTGATTTGTCCAAAACGTATGAGTATGTCGTGACAAAGTATTCACAAAGAGGGTGTGCAACAATTTCCTCTCTATAACGTTTCTCTGTCGTTTTATACGAGCTGAATCCATATTAGTAGTCATTTGTGAACATTAAAAGGTCTATTTAAAACGTAGTTCTTATATCACATAGACACACATGCTCAATCAGTGTTTTATTTCAACAAAGCTGCTTACAACCTCTGTACTGCTTATAACTGAAAAATATTTTGTAGCCTTCATATTTAAAACATTTTTGCCCTACACTTACCTTATCCTTAACACAGTTAGTTGTAGCACACACGCTAAAAATCAAACCCAGGACGTTTTGCTCCCGTGCCAAACGCTTAACCATGAGAACCACTAGGTTCAATTAAACGATTCCGACATCCATTATTTCGCGACATGGCACGACGACCATCTAACCCCATTAGTGATAACTGTTTCACCCCTGACATCCATCATGGTTTCTTATTCAAACTTCAATAATTCACTAGTAAACTGACTGTTATGGTCCTAATACTGAAATATCTGCCGCGAGACGTGACGTTCCTAGACTATCCCTAGTGGGACTATGGCTGTGTAATAGTGAAGTGTCCCATATTAAGATGAAACACCACAGTTGTCCAGCGCTCCTTGTTTTAAATGGTGCCCCAAATGAGCTCAACCTGTGGTGAATGTAACCTACAAATTAAACCAATCTTTACAAAAACTACCCAAGTTAATTTTTAATAATGAAACCTGTTTGCTTTTTCTGTTTACGTTTTTCAGTCATCGTTTACCATTCATGTTCAGTTCGTCTCGTTCTGAATTAGCCTATTTATGCAGACAATTGTTTGCTCTTCGACCAGATCAATTATGTCGATTAACGCGATGGCTTGGTCCAAACGGATTACCGAATTTGATTTACAATCAAAAAATATCATCTAGATTATCAGATTCTGAACAGCAAACAAATTCAAATTGTTCTTTACAGGAATTACCTAATGAAATTAAAACAACCACTACTACTACTCGTGGAGCTCGACTGTCTTTGTCATCTCTTTTAACACCTAGTTTAGTTCCTAATAACTTAAGTGCTTCATACCAGAAAAGCCATATATGGAAAACTTGTCTTCCTGGTTTACATCGATTATATAAATCCATTTCGTCTGTGGCTGATCGATTCGCTAGAGAATATCCTACAGAGTTACGGTTTATTTTACAGGTACGTTCATATATATATATATATATATATATATATATATATATATATATATATATATATATATATATATATAAACTTTCCTATGGTTGTTTACCCGATTTGTTACCCCTAAAGTTCTTTATTGCCTTAAATCAGTTAGTCTTCAACTCTGACCTAGAATTGTTTTTCTTTCTCGTTTGAAGTATTAGAATTTTTATTTCTAAATATTACTGAATTGTACACATTATCGATTATTAGTGTATGGTCAAAATATGTGTATGTGGAAGAGTGGGTGACCTGGATTTTGACAATATATTCAATATGAAGGTATTTGAGTTAATGTGCAGTGAATCTATTCAATCATTTATTATTATTCATACAATCCACTTTTAACCATACAAATGTTTAATTAATTTATTCTGAAGTATTTTGAAGCAAAATTTGATAGAGAATAAAAGCGGACTCATAAACAGGATGTACCTGTTCAAGCTAAAACTCGAATCTAATGATTTTCGTTTCAAATACTTAATACTTTATCCAATTAACTGCTGAGTTCATACAACTATTGACCTGTGTAACGAGGATGAACTTTATTTTATTTTCAATGATTTCAATCTTCCTGCTCCTAATGTGAAGTACCGCGAATGAAATCCTTTTTGGTATACGTACACTCTGAGCAAACCACTTCGATACTACCATTAAAATTACAAGCTACTATCAGCCCTTGCTTACAAACAATTATGACTCAACGATACTATCGAGACTATCCACTTAAAATGCACATATACAAATAAAAAATTGTTCTTTTGCAGACTTTAACATCAACAATTGGATTATTCAAACTCGTATAAATGAAATTCTATTCTAAAGTAGTTCAAATTTTTATTTTATGAGTACCGAACGTAATAGTCCATTGATTCAAGTTCCTAAAGCACAAAAGGAAATTATCAAAAAATGAATATAGGTGTCATTACCAAGGTTTGACTTGATAATTTCAAATACATTGAGCGCTGGATAGATTGTTATTTATAAAAATAATATATTTTGTAATATCTCAATAATTAGAAAAATCAAGTTCTATAAATTTTCTGACTTTTCGTTACTTCCGGTCAAGATAATTTATGTTAGACCTAAATGTTATGATATGGACGTGGTTAGACTTGTTTTTGATTAATCACACCAAATGTTCTTACTTTGTTCCTTTGTATTATTTAAACTTGGGTTAATTTAGTTTATTTATTCTCTAAAGAAGTGGCTCACTCTGATTCACGAAACGTCGGAAAATTTATAAAAGTTAATTTTGCTACTCATTGAGATATTACAAATACATTATTTTTATTAAAAAGTGAATATATTAAAGATTTTGTCAAAAAGTAAATGAAAGGGGTAAGTTATAAACAGTAATGAATAAGGTGGCCGCAATAGATGTCAGTTAGTCAATCATACACATGTACATTGGTTCAAGCTGCTACACCCTATTAACACAGCAAGATGAAATTGTCAAATCAAATTCCAGAGTAGTAGAAGCATTAACAATATTATTGGTAATAAAAAGACTATCTATCGAAGATACCATTCTAGAATAAAACAAATAATTTTCTAGCGTAAATTAGAAACTTGAGATTTGAACGCGAATGAAAGGTGTATGTATCCATCTACGCCATTGTTAGCATTTGTGAACTTTGTTATCCAACTTCTCTAACCATTAGTTACACAAACCCCAACCAGTTAATCTTCATTTATCTACACTGCTCAATCTAATAGCCATTGTAGAGCCGGCGGCTTAGTAGTCAAGGCGTTCAACTTTCAACTACTAAGTCCTAGTTCCAAACCCCATTCCGCATACTTCGGTCTGGGAAACTGGTTAGTATCATTAGCCCATATCTGAGTACCGGAAAAATGAGTATATATATTAGCAACCGCTGTCACTTTTTTGTTTGTCCACTACCTTTACCAACAAAATAAAAGGTAATAATAACTTAGATGATAGTACCCGCTCTTTAACTAGTTATAGCAATGCATTAAACTCCTGTTCATGATATTTTGCTGAAATTACAATCCAATACTAATGTGATATGCATTCTTAGCATTTCAATTTATTTAAAACTTTTGTCTTATTTCCCATGCAATTTTTTTCATAAAACTACTGTAATCTATTTTTCCATTTTTATAAGTAGTCTTATCAGATTCTCGGTAAATAAGGATACGAATATACAGAACTATTATTTATATTTTTATTGTATTAGTTGTTAAATAATTAAGTTTTTTTCATTGTCTTAAATTTTAAGCTTTAGTTTAACTAATTAACTGTTGATATATATGTGTTACTGTTCCTGAACTGCCATTATAATTAACATTCCATCTATTACTCAGTGTTGTATCCTATTTAACCCAGTTATGTACATATTGTAATTTCTTATCTGTACTGAATTATGTTCGTATTATCATTGTATAGAATCATGTGGAGGCACTAAATTATTTTATTTTAACACATAGGTATTGGTACATGGAAGCAACAAATACATAAGCAGTCAGTCAGTCAGCTGCAACGTAGGACCAGGCACATATATGCATCGGTCCAATTTGCCATACCGCATTAGCACAACAAGATGAACACCGGATTCATAGGAGTAGTTAATTCAGTGGTGGTAATATATAGAAGAAAGATTGTGTATAAGGAGATAGTACAGGAAGAAAGAATTAGTTCCTAGAAAGAAAGATTTGAAGTGATTTTAATCTCTTAATTTAAGGAAGACAGAGAGTGTATACACCGACGCCATTTTGATCGATTCTGAGCCATGTCACCAAGAGTCTCCAACCATTGGTTACGATAGTCACGCGGACCCCAACCAGGCAGTCTGAATCTTCCTAAATAGCTCAGACCAAAAGTTAGTGACTTCAAGCATTGATGCCACGTTTTGGTTTGGCCGCCCCTAACTTTCTTCCAATTATCCCTAACACCGGTTAGCATTGCACGTCGTGGTAATCGGTGTTCAGGCATACGCAACACGTGACCCAACCATCTCAGTCGATGAAGATTCACAACCTCATCAACCGATTTACTATCATTCCCTAATACCCTGCGTCTAACCTCACTATTACTTACCCGGTGATCCCAGCAGATGCGAGCAATATTTCTAAGGCACCTGTGGTCAAATACTAGTAACTTACGAGTATATTCTACTCTTAAAGGCCATGTTTCTCAGCCGTAAAGTAGAACGGAACAAACTGCCGCGCAGTATACTCATCCCTTAATTGACAGACGGATATCTCGCCTTCGCAATAGGTGACGTAAGTTGGCAAAGGCCAGACGAACTTTTCGAATCCGTGCAGAGATTTCGTCAGACACCAACCCATTAGGGCTGATCAGACCTCTAACAGCACTCAAGGCCAAATACATATGCGCCACACAAATCTCATTTGATATGTGTGAGGGCTGGAATACTACCCGGGTGCCCAAACCAAAGCAGGTGGTTTTTTCAGGGGACCACACCCCGAGCCTTCGACCTGAAGATCTGATCCACAAGGCAGTGGAGCATCGTAAGGAGATGCAGTCCCATGGTAGCCGGTGACCAACGATTGGTTCATACGCCATTTGTTCCCTCAGGATACTGGAGCCCATGTGCACCATTGTTTTGGGATCCGGTTAAAGTGCCGGACATTCGCTTTTCGTCCTCTCATTTTCGTAAACAACACCCCCGCCACGAGAAGGCAGTGAGTAGGACTTCCCTGGCAGAGGCTATATACGCGTGTCGATGTGAGAGCATTTGGAGAGGGAGAGTCGACTCTCCACACTCTCGCCCGTACCAGGGCATTTTGGGAGTTTGTGAGTTTTAACTGTAAGAATAATGCAAGGTAGGAATTGTTGTCTTTATACTTTGATTAGCCATTGAAGGTGCCGCGTGAACCAATAGGCATTAGGATTTCCAGTCACGTGGCTGGAAGTCATTTGTACCTATTGTTTAACAAGAAGAAGTTCATTAGTCTATATTTGGTATAAAACAAACTTCTATATTAGTAAACTCTACAACTGAGTGATTAGATTTGATAGGCATGTAAAAAAAAGAAATTTCTATAAAAAATTCCTACTATCATCTGAATATTTTATTCTTATTCACCTTATTCGCATATATAAATATCATTAATTTCTGTCTAATTGAATATATTCTCCTTTCTTGTATTCTCTGTTCGATTGTAGAAAGTAATTGAAATGCATGATACCAGTGATGAGATCGAGATTGTTGAATCTTCTGACTCTTCTTCTATGGATAATAGTAATAATAATTTGCAAAATGCCAATCCAATTCTTTCTAACAATACATCTGATAATATTGTTGATATGAGTATAGAAGAAATTAAAAATAGACAATTGATTGATGAAGAGAGTGAATTAGAAGAAGAATTAGAATTGAATTTATTTAATCTAATGGCAAGTGAAAGAAAACTTCGTGATTTAGCTAATTTATTCAATTGGGATGAAGTAATGCAATATCATCATCGTGACAAATTATCATCGTCATCATCATCAAATCAATTTAATGTACATAAATTATTTAAAGAGTCTAATTTATATTTACGAAATTGTACTACTAATTCTGCTGTGAATACTAGTAGTAAATTTCCTTATTCAGTCGATTCAGAGACCAGTAATTGTTTAATAAAATCATCAGAACCAATCCATAAACACACTGGATTAATATCAGCAGATATTTTGATTGATGAAAAAACGACAGTTCCTAATAGTAATGTTACGACAACTACTACTACCCCAGGTATTGGGCAAACTGTTGATGAGATTGGCTTGGATATTGCAGCCTGTTTAGATGATAATGATGTGGACAAGTTGACAATATTCACAAATCCAAAGTCAGTTTCACCTGTGAATAGTAATCATAACCAACGCAGTAAGTTTTAATCCAATCTGTGTGTGCTATGTTCCTTTTAACATATCGTAATCTATGAAAGCATATGAGTAATAGTACTTGTTATACAATATAGTTCATTCACTAAGTACAAGTGTATGTGTTTAATTTTGAGCCACATTGTTTGTGTGAAGGCTACTCAGCGGCCCTGATCAAAGTTGATAGAGTATCATTTGAACATGTGAACGGTGACTAAACGTGTCCTGCTTCGGTTTGGGCACCCGGGCAGTATCACAGCCCTCACACAAATCACTTGAGATTCGTGTGGCGCATATGTATTTGGTGCCTCCTGACTAAACGTGTACCGAAATTGTTGCTAAACATATAATGACCAACAACTTAATACATTTCCTTGAGTGCCCCTACGAGCCATAAAGGTTGGTGAGGTCGATTGGCTTTTCTGGAGACACTCATAAATGACACGGCACAGTTATCAGGGCTTAATAGTTGTTTTATTCTTGACCTGAATATCCCTTGATGCACTCATGGTGACGACAGACCACTTACAAATCATACAGCAATAATTTGCTATCCCTTTCCAAGTTCGTAATATTTTTGCACAGGTTTCTTATGGGCAATGGTGTAATTTGCTGTTTACACTTTGTTCACCGTCATTCTCTCTTGTTAGGTCCACATTATTGTCTCTCCAGACTCATTCCGTCATTTTCCTTACAGTTTCTTTTTGTGTGACATGTTTTAAGATGCCCCAATAACCATCCTCTGGTTTTATGTTTTAGGTAATTATTTATCGGCCAGGTGTACGCATCAGTTTCTTTTGATCCATGGTCATTTCAATAATGCCGATACATTTCTTTATTAGTTGCAAATAATGGACTATATTTTTCATTTAGACATTTAAATATCAACTCTCACTTTCTTATTATGCTAGGTTTGTATTCACTTAGTCTGTCTGGCTTTATTTTGATCAGACTATCTACTCATCCATTTAGGAAATATTCTTTCAGTACCTTTAGATCCATCTGTAACTGTCTTAGCCAACTTTTGGTATGCGCGCTTCTTGCTTTCTGTTCATTTTCAAGTGCCAGGAAACATTGTTATAACTGTTGAAATGGTAAGGTAAAGAGGGAACAGGTTTACAATTGTCTCACGGACCCCAACCAAGCAGTCTGCATCTACCAACATGGCTCAGACCAGAAGTTAGTGACTTTATTGACGGATGTCACATTTTGGTTTGGCTGAGTCTAATTTTCTTGCATCCGTCTACAACACTAGTCAGCATTATGCGCCGTCGTAGTCGGTGGTTGGTCATGCGTAATACATGGTCCAACCATATCAGTCAATGAAAATTCAAAATCTCATCAACTGATTTACAATCATTCCTCAATACCCCTGCGTCTAACCTCACTATTACTTACCCGGTGGTCGCAGCAGATGCGAGCAATATTTCTAAGACATAGATATGCTTTAGTTTGTCGAATCCTCAGCCATACGATATTTTAAACCCCGTTGCATATGTTCAGAATTATTTAATACTTACATCAAACCTACAATGTTAATATTAATTCAATTAACTTCATGCAGTTAGATCCGTTGATAGACTTTTGTATAATAAAAATCAACAAATATTGTGAGATGATATGAATTCACTTCATTTTGTTTTGCTCGAAATCTTTCACGGCTGGTTTCGTGTTGGGGGTCAAGAATTAATCTATCACTATGGCAGTATCAACCAAATCAAACTTTTTCCGCATACATTGAGTTAGAAATAAGAACTACTTCTGTGTAACGTAGAAGTCTACCACTATTCTGTTTATCACTCGAGAAGTATTACCCGTATCCACTGATGAACGACTCTTACTCATTAATTATCTTTTTATGGGAGTACTGCTGTGTAATTTGGAGGCATTCGATACAAGTAAATAGATCACTACAACTAAGAGTAACTAGAGGAAGTCTGTTATATAAGTTAAACTTTCTCAGTAGGTTTGTTGTTTCATATGTGATAATTAAATTAGTGCCAAGAAAAGTTAGTACAATGCTGGAGTTTAATCGGTGGTGAGGACAATAAGATGTCGTAGAATCGTAATTGTTGTTCACTCAAAGTGGTTATTGATAAACTTTGTGGATCAATCATGATACATAGTTTCCTTCAATATATAGTCTTTTTTCATATTCATCATATATTTCGATTTCAAATTAATAAAAACCAATATACTTTATTTCTCGATTAAGGCACATTTTCACAAAGGCTTCAAGCATTAAATTTAAGTATTTCCTTTGAAGGAACACAAAATCCCACTGATCATATATTCAATTATCTACCAGCATGGCAACCTGACTCACCATCTTATGAAAATCAGATTGATCGATTGAAAATTGATAATCATGACGATGATGATGATTCAATTGATTTTGATGATTTACAATGTTCTTATATTGTTGGACGTAATTGTGCTTCATGTAATCGTCCATTCACATTAATTTGGCGACGTCATCATTGTCGTCGTTGTGGTCATATATTTTGTTCAAAATGTTGTAATTATTGGCAATCTATTGAAGGATTAGCTAGTAGTAAACCTGTTCGTATATGTTCTGAATGTCATGATTTTTTAAGTCCACAGATTATTCAATAAATAATATTATCATTATTATTAAATTAAATCTCAGATCTTTTATTATTTATGTCTTTCTAGTTAAGTTTGTTAATAACTATTCTTATAATTATTTTCTTTTTACTCATTATCACACGCACACACACATGCATACATACATACATACAAAGTATCTTCTCATTACGTAAGTGGGTTGTTTAATATTCATTTTGAAATAAAATAAACATCACTATAATACTTGTATTTATCCTATTTTGATTTCTTATGTGAATAAAAAGTAAATTCAAGTTTTCAAAGCAGCTATATACATTACTCAATTCACGAAAAATAATGGAAAAGTTAAATTTTACATTGTCATTACTATTATTATTATTATTTTTATGATTTATTCATTCATTAGTTATTTATATTTAACTTTATTTTCATAATATTTTCACATTTGTTTATTGTAAGTAACTATCTTATCAAAATTAATCTGTATTCACTTGTCGTGAATAATATTATGTACATAAAAATATATATTTGAATTTGATAGAATCTAAAACAATTAGTCCCTTTGATAAATTTCGTTAATACAATGAGAAAACGAAGTTTATCAGAATTATGTGATCTATTAGCGCAATACATTTCGAACAATCTGATCACACATATACTTGTTAAGGACATTTATATATGAAAATTAAAAGGTCAACTAGACAGGTTAAGGGTAAGTCATACTAAGGTTTATTGAAGCATTGGCTATATGGAAACTGAAACCCCTTTTATGTATTCAAAAACAATTTGTCCTTACACTTAACCTACCCTGGTAATACTGATTTATTATCCAGAGTGGTAATCACATTTGTTTTTGTGTACTATAATATATTTTTCCTTTGTTATGACTTACTCTTAACCTTAAATTTCAATCGCTGAGATTATTTCAAATATAATTTACATATATAATGATTTCTCTATACTCGGCGCCCAATATCTGTCAAACTATTCGTTCTAATCTTGACGAATATTCGTATAAATTGTCTAGTTGACCTTTTAATTTTCATATATATGTTCTTAACAAGTATATGTGTGATCAGATTGTTCGAAATGTATTGCGTTAATATATCACATAATTCTGATAAACTTCGTCTTCTCATTGCATTATCGAAATTTGATACAATCGTTTGATCTTTTTTTATTCAATTCACATAAAACCTAGTACAATTGGACACTAAAGCATAGTATGCGTCGGACAAAATTATGATATTTGTGTGCGGGTTGGGATACTGACTGGACGTTGTGAATGGTTTCTTTGAAGAGGAGGCGCTCCCCTAACCCTTAATGTAAGAATTTCATATACTAGTCAACGAAGCAACGTCAAGAAACAACGTTCCATGGTAACCGATAGTCAAAAAGTGCTTTAGGATCGCGGTTTTTAAAATCTTCTTGCTAAACCCTCCGTATCCATCAATTCAGTTTAAGCGGAGAGAGTTTGCTTTTCATCCTCTCACTTTCTTAAACAACACGGTGAACGCGTAATATTAATGGAAGAGCTTGTTCCTATTTAATTTTAAACTAACTGGTGATTGAGTATTGATCGAAATATAAAGTGGAAATACCTAGGTTATTAATAATTGAGTTTGTTTAGACCGGACTGAAGGTATACAGCAATAAATGCTTTCGCTTAACAAGCTCTGTAAAGTCTTCTGGATTTAAGATATAGCGCGTTAAAGCATTTCGAAATGATAAATCTTCAGGTCGATACACTTGCAATGAGTATTGCGGAAAGATCATGGCGTTTTTCAGTAGTTGTTGTATAACTTATCTTCTTATACTTATTATTTTTTTATCCCATGCTACTTCATATTAATAAATAGTGTGAACTTTAAACTGTAGGTATTCTTCTGCTCTGTATCATATTTTGAAATTTATCAACTCAAAATTTATTCAAAAATCTCAATGGGTAACGTAATTCGAATAAATATCATTTTTCTGATCTTAATGTGTAACTTTTCATTGAGTTAAATAATAGTTGATACATAAATATAACAGTACGATTTCTTAGATATTATCTAACAGATGTAATCAAAGTGACTGTGTATATAGGATCAATAGAGATAAAAAGAGCTGCGGGAAAACAGAAAGATCGTATTCGTCTAAAAAAAAAAGACAATTTTGTAACCCCTTTTTTAAATATACATCAGTTAGCTACAACGTAGGACCAGGCACATATATACATCGGTCCAAGTTGCCATACCGCATTAACACAACAAGATGAACACCAAAATCATAGTAGTTAATTCAGTGGTGGTAATATATAAAAGAAATATTGCATATAAGCACATAGTACAGGAAGAAAGAATTAGTTCGTAGAAAGATATGAAGTGATTTTAATCTCTTAGTTTAAAGGAAGACAATGAGTGTATACACCGACGCCATTGTGATCAATTCTGAGCCATGTCATCAAGAGTGCCCAACCAAGTAGTCTGCATTTACCAACATGGCTCACACAAGAAGTTAGTGACTGTGGACTAATGATACATTTTGGTTTGGCCGCCCCCAATTTTAATCGGTGTTTACGCATACGCCCAACCATCTCAGTTGATAAAGATCCACAACCTCATCAACTGATTTACCATCATTCCCTAATGCCCTGCGTCTAACCTCACTATTTCTTGCCCGGTGATCCTAGCAGATGCGAGCAATATTTCCAAGCCATCTGTGATCAAATACTAGTAACTTACGAATTTCTTCTACTCGTAATGGCCACGCTTCGCTACTGTAAAGTAGAACAGAACGAACTGTCGCGCAGTATACTCGTCCCTTAATTGATAGACGGATGTCTCACCTTCGCCATAGGTGACGTAAGTTGACAAAACCTAAACAAGCTTTTAGAATCCGTGCAGAGATTTCGTCAGACACCAACCCATTAGGGTTGGTCAGACTTCCAAGATAAGTGAAGTTGCCAACGCGCTCAACTACTTCACTCCCTATCCCTAGTTCAGTTGTTGACGCAGGCCAGTCCTGGAGCTACAATTTGCGTCTAGAGGGGAAACACTCATCCCAAACATATTTACACTGTTGCTCAGTGCTACCAAAAGACTCAGTGTTTTATCATCGTTGTCTCCGAAAGATTGCTGACATCCATTGGCAACACCATGTTAATAATGCCGAGGTTCGGCATCGTGTGTTCGGGCACAGAGACGACAATCCAATTGGTGTCACCATCTTGAAACATCGACTTCGGTGGCTTGGACATGTTCTACGAATGTCGTTCCAGAGAACTCCACGTCGTGCATTATTTGCTGACGCTGGGACTGGTTGGAAAAGGCGGAGAGGTAGTCAGTGTATGACATGGTGTCGTGGCATGAAAGCTGCAAAGAGCTGGCTTCTGTTGGTCCTTCACGACTTCCTGGTTGGGGTCCGAAAGATGGCGCGACACAGTGGCTAGAGCCGTTATCAGATATGGCTCAGAATAGAAGCCAATGGCGATCCTGCTGTAACCTTCTTTTACTTTCTTCATAGAAAGTAGTTGTATCTTCCTTCTTTTGGTTGCACCTTTCCGTTTCCCCCATTATTATTATTACACTAGTCTGGTCGTTATTGTTCTTTTTTTCTTTTACGCTCATTACCTTCTTTCTTTCTCTTTCCATTCCCATTGTTTTGTGTGGCGCATATACATTTTATGCCCTCTTGTACCAATATTTGTGTTCAAATAAATAATAAAATTCTATTCACGCATTTGTCAGCGTCTTCGCCAAAAATGACTATGTCATTTGCGCATTCTAAGTCGATAAGTGAATCTCCTGGTTGGAGATCATTGCCCGGAAATTCGGTCAACAAGAGTGTTATTTCTATCAGTATGATGAAGTTAAACTAAAATGAAGATAGTGGACAGCCTTGCCGGACACCAGTTGAAGTTGCGAAATCAGATAATAGTTCGCCACGAATTTTAACTATTATTGTTATTTATTTATTTTAACACATAGATATTGGTACATGCTGGCACCAAATACATATGCGCCACACAAATTTCATTTTACCTGTGTGTGTGATACTGCCCGGGTGCCCAAACCGAAGCAGGTGGTTTTCTTAGGGGGCCACACCCCGAGCCTTCGACCTGAACGTCTGACCCACAAGGTAGTGGAGCATCGTAAGGAGATGCAATCCCATGGTAGCCGGTAACCAACGATTGGTTCATACGCCATTTGTTCCCTCAGGATACTGGAGCCCATGTGCACCATTGTTTTGGGATCTGGTTAAAGCGCCGGACATTCGCTTTTCGTCCTCTGAATTTCGTAAACAACACCCCCGCCACGAGAAGGCAGTGAGTAGGATTTCCTTGGCATAGGCTATATACGCATGGCCATGTGAGAGCATTTTGAGAGGGAGAGCGGACTCTCCCCATTCTCGGCCGTACCAGGGCATTTGGGGGCGTTTTAACTAGACTAGCAGTGTTCGAGTAAAAAGCTTTCTGAGGTACGCCTTTAATGATAGACACTGTCACAGAACCCCTGTCTACCGGGTCAAATGCTGCTTTCAAGTCAAGAAAAGCTATAATTGTCGGACGCCGATATGCATGCCTGTGTTCTAGGACCTGACAAATGGAGAACATGTGGTCGATGCAGCGATAACCAGATCTGAAGCCATCCTAATCAGTGATTGCAGCTAGTTAGATTAGGTTGCATCCAACTTCCAGATTTTAGCTAAAATATTAGTCAACCTAATCACTAAAACTGGACCACCATCCTTAAAATCCCCTGGAGTTAATTTATCTAGACGATCTGCTCTTCCTTGTTTCAGATTAGCTATAGCTTTTTGAACATCAATTAGATTCGGAGGACCTACTTCAATGTTCCACTTAGGCTGTTTGGGAATGGTGAGTAGTTGTAGAGTAGCTGAACTGCTCCTGAAGGTGTTCTGCCACCATTCGAAACGTCTGGATTGAGAGCAGATAATAGTTTCGTATTTTTCCGAGATAGTCTCACACTTGACTTCTAAGTTCCAGTTTCTTTTATTAGTCTGAAAAGCTATCATGTGTTACCTACAGTTACTGTCTTTTCCATCTCTTTTGCTTTCATTACCCACCCACCACTGCTCACGGTCGTTCCTTAGACTTTTGGTTAACCTAGATCTGACTTGTTTTCGTTCTTCATTGTGTTCAGAGTCTGATGAGATGAGTTTACGAGAATCCACCAGTGCAATAGACTTAAAAGAAATCCATTGGTTTTTCGTAACCCTTTGGTTTAAACCATTATTAGATGTCACTGCTGTTTCCACAGCTGTTCGTATATCTTTTCAAGCAATATCTGGGCAGCCTCGTTTTCAGAACTACCTAAGTGTGACCTCAGTTGTTCCTGGAATCTACTTTTGGCTTTAAAATACACATATACATACATGACGTATTATTACTGTTCAGCTGAAAATGATAACCCATGGGAGTAAAATTCAAAATGCAGTATTCAGAACATTTTTTATTTTAGTCACGAAAATAAAAATAGTTCAGTCACTGAGGACTAAATCCAATAAAAAAGGAAAACTTAACAATAACGATCAACTCTAAAACAACAGGTGTATAAACAAGGATAACTATTTCCGAATGATCTTTAATGCTTAGGGTTTTGTGCAAAAAAACATAATCTTGTTTGGCATCATATAAAAGATAAATAGAAAAAGAGACTGGGATGATTTTTCTTAAAGTAGTCAGGACTTACCAGCTGAAGGAGAAATTAGGAAAATGTGATGAAAGTGGATAGGACATACATTGCAGAAATCATCAGACTGAACCACAAGGCAAGCACTAACTTGGAATCCTGAAGGGAAAAAGGAAAATCAATGGTCGGGATTGGAAGCAGACATCAAAAGAATGGAGACCGGAAACAACTGGAAAGGACAGAGTTCAATGGAGAATCCTGTTGGACAACCTATGCTTCTTCACGAGGGATGACAGACGTAAGTAAGTAAGTTCGAATTCAACAACACTTTAGCTTACATAATGTTATATACAGATAGAATTTACAAGGGAAATTTTAATGAAGCATTTGAAAAGCCAATTGTTCTATCTCACCATGTAATGCATTCAAATCAAGACATTGTAGAGCTGGTAATAATTTCGTATGAATTATGGATGCTACACATGACTATGAAAATTATGAAAATCAAAAAAAGAATAAAGTGAATTAGGATTATTCCATGCAAATTGTTATCAGACAGGGAAAAATAAAAATTATTAATTAACAAATCAGCGTGTTCACTTGATTTTTTAGATGATAAGGATAGTATCATTGTAATTTGTGACGATGTGTATGTAGAAGGATTATTTCTAGACTATATACTGAAACCATCACCAGCAAATAGCAACTTAAAGCAAATCGACTGATAATCTATCTTGATAGGGGGGTCAACAACTACACAAGTGGAAAAGTTTACTTGGAATAGAATAACTGGAAAACCAATGTAACACAATGGTAAACCGATGTACTTCAATGCTGTATTTTCCTTTTTATGAGTGCGTGTAGATTGCCAAAATTCAATCTATTACAGAGTTGCTGCCTAGCTAACAAGAAAGCCTAACAAAAGAGCAGCTGATTTCTTTAGGATAGATTTGCAACAAAATAACATCTTTGCCTCAGTTGTTAATGACTGAAGTTAATAAGAAAAGGGTATATGGTGTTGGGAATGTTAAATCCCTAGAAAACCGTCGAGCTAATGCTCATTCAGTGTATACTAATGCCTATTCTCTCGCATCAAATAGCTCCACAATATCTTCCCTTTACTGAAACTACGATTTAGATTGGAAAACATTATTTTCTGTATGGTCAGTGGCTTTGTATGTACTGCAGTTTTCAAGATTATTGTACATATGTTGACATACTATGAATAAATCTTCGGTTAATATCTAATAATTCTTGAAAAATTTATTCTTCAGACTACCCAAGACTAGGAGAAAAGGGAAAATGGGTGTATTTATGTATCGAAACTAGGTACTATTGACGTTAGTTCAAGAAATATCAAGATGCCATATTGTGATAAACATATAAGAGTTAACTGAATTGACTATACAAAATTTTAAGAATGGTGATTAACATTCAACTAGTGAAGATAAACGAAAGACGGAAAACATCCGAAACCTCTTAACACGGGTTGAGAGTGAATCGACTAGGATTGCACCACCTTCCGTCAAACTACACCACGCAAGAATCCATTTAATTATGTTTTGTATCTTAAAAAAGAGCTGCTATGGGTTTGTTAAGGCTTAAAAATTCCTAATTGATATCACATACCATATTGTCGGTCGAACCGTTGACCAATTTCACGAATTTACACACTGATCAATAAACTATAACCAAGACACTATTGCTTATTGGTCCCCGAGCCCCCATACAAACCCAGTGATAAATAAGCAGATGCAAATAGCGAACAGATTAGCTTTTCGGTGCGCCCACTTCGTCATTCGATTTGTGTGAGGACAGGAACACTTCCCTGTCGCACAAACCGAAGCAAGTTGTTTTATTAGAGGGTCACTACCCAAGCCTTCGACCTAGAGGTCTAATCGACAAGGAAGTAGAGCAACGTTAGAAGATGTAGTTTCATGGTAGCCAGTGACCAACAATATGTTCATACTCCATTTTCTCCCTTAAGATCCTGGAGCCCATGTGCACCATTTGTTTGGAATCAAGGTTTTCCAACTCCCCTAGAAGAATCCTCTGTATCCACTGACGCGGTTAAAGCGTTGGACATTTGCTTTTCGTCTTCTGAATCTCGTAAACAACACACTGGCCTCGAGAAGGCAGTGAGTAGGACTTTTGTGTTAGTGGTTGTATACACGTGGCTATGCGAGAGGATTTCGAGAGCTGACTCTCCCCACCTTTGGTCGTGTCAGGGCATTTAATAATTATGTAATATAGATATAAATAATCGTGATTGCAGAAAAAATAGCAGCGATAGTTTCTGACTTTCCTAATATTCATTTTGTCATAGAATGATTATTTTACGATGTCTAATGTAAGGTATGAAAAAGTGTTTTAAAAAAAAGAAAATTCCAGTGAAAACCTCACCTTCTGAACACTTTCACTCAGAGAATGTGCAGGTTGACTTAGATTTTGATTATCTTGATCTATAATCATTTTTTGATACAATGTATTTTGAAGTATTGTACGGAAAAGAATAACCAATGCAACATTTTTAATTTTATCATCTTGAATATTTTGACAAAAAGAATTACAATTGTTTGATTCAGTTAATAAAATACTACTATTACTACTACTATTTTTGATAGATAATAAACATTGTGAAGAAGAATGACAACTGAGTAAATATAGAATACAATTAGAACAAACATTTAATTCATGAAGTAGAAATGGCCAATCCAAAAGTATAAGAGAATGATGAAATATTGGTTCAATACATGAGAAAAGTAAAGCTGTAGAAAAAAACAATGTACAGTTAAAATAAATAATTAGAACAGGTACATATCTATACCGTAAAATTTTTTGAAAGGAAAAGAACATGAATTTACGCAATTATATATGTTTTTCGATTATTGTATAAGTCTCTATCTACAATTACTCTAATTATGTGACTATCATCACCTTTGGATACCGTCTCAGTAGTGTGGAGGTTAAGCGTTAGCGCGAGACCAAAAGTCCTGGGTTCGATCCCCGCCTGCGGAATTGTGGAAGCACACACATACTAGGATGAAACGATCATACAGTGCTTCCAGGTTTCCAATGGTGGTCTAACTTAGATCGCTCTATATTTTCAGTGGATTTCAACAATCTCCGCAACCCCATACTGAAAACACTAGATAAAAAGCATTAATTGATAAATTCTTCAAGTCTACTAATTAAACACTGTGATAAAACAACATATTTGCTAACAATTAGAAATAAAACATAGTGTACCAGAAACAGGATTTTTCTAATTCTAATTAAATGTTAGAAATACGCTTACGAATAGGTTGTCATGTGTGTTGTGTTTGCAACTTTTTAAACTAATCTATTAAATAGTGCTTGCTTGTTTAAGCATGATTCTTAGATTGAAGCATAACAATGTTAGCAACAGATTGGTGTTTGAAGCGAAAGGTACTGGGGGGGCCCGAGTCTTGGTGTGAACACTATCAATAGATTCAACCACATCCAAATGATGGGTACCTTCTCGTGGCGAGGGTGTTGTTTACGAAATTCAGAGGACGAAAAGCGAATGTCCGGCGCTTTAACCAGATCCCAAAACAATGGTGCACATGGGCTCCAGTATCCTGAGGGAACAAATGGCGTATGAACCAGTCGTTGGTCACCGGCTACCATGGGACTGCATCTCCTTACGATGCTCCACTGCCTTGTGGGTCAAACGTTCAGGTCGAAGGCTCGGGGTGTGGCCCCCTAAGAAAACCACCTGCTTCGGTTTGGGCACCCGGGCAGTATCCTAGCCCTCACACATATCAAATGAGATTTGTGTGGCGCATATGTATTTGGTGCCTCGTTGTAGCAATACCTATGTGTTAAAATAAATAAATAAAAATACCAGATGGAAATAAACTAAGAAAAGCTTATGGCTTAATGTCGAAAGTGAAGCAATCCTCCTAATATCCACATATGACTACTTGACCACTTGAAGTCAGTCAGTCAGCTGCAATGTAGGACCAGGCACATATATACATCGGTCCAAGTTGCCATACCGCATTAACACAACAAGATGAACACCAAAATCATAGTAGTTAATTCAGTGGTGGTAATATATAAAAGAAATATTGCATATAAGCATATAGTACAGGAATAAAGAATTAGTTCGTAGAAAGAAAGATATGAAGTGATTTTAATCTCTTAGTTTAAAGGAAGACAATGAGTGTATACACCGACGCCATTGTGATCAATTCTGAGCCATGTCATCAAGAGTGCCCAACCAAGTAGTCTGCATTTACCAACATGGCTCACACAAGAAGTTAGTGACTGTGGACTAATGATACATTTTGGTTTGGCCGCCCCCAATTTTAATCGGTGTTTACGCATACGCCCAACCATCTCAGTTGATAAAGATCCACAACCTCATCAACTGATTTACCATCATTCCCTAATGCCCTGCGTCTAACCTCACTATTACTTACCCGGTGATCCCAGCAGATGCGAGCAATATTTCTAAGGCATCTGTGGTCAAATACTTGTAGCTTACGACCACTTGAAGTCCTTGATATCAACAACGGGAAATCACAAACCATCACGACTTTAATCCTAATTATAAGCCTGAAAAATACATACTGCGACAACCCCATACAGCTTAATACATCGATAGGAAAATGCATTTCACCAACCAACGACAATCAAATATTATTGGTTGGTAAATTTACAGCCAAATATCGCTACTTACCTGATAGTTTTTAAAGGTTATATTACCCTTAGTGTCCCAAGCTAATAAAGGTTAACAATCACCAGCATTTTAAATGAACCATTACAAAAAGCGATAAGGATGAGGTAGACATTGATAAGAATCTATGAATTTCCAAAGTCTGTTAATGTTCCCCTAGATTACTACTTCTGAGCAAATATTCCGACGTCGAACCGGATATCATCTCAGTTTAGGTATATAAGAAATATGAGTTAACATATTTGTATAAAAAATTTTTGTTAAACTTTCATGGGTTATTCGTAATATTTGTAATACACAGTTAAATTGATAAGAATAATACTCAAATTATTAATTCTCAACTTACATTTTGCATAATTAAATTGAGGACAGGATTTCAACAGGTCAAATGACGAAATAGATTGATTTAGATCAAACAGTAAATTACTATCGTTGTTAATATTATTATGACAGGTAGAACTGAGTAATTTTAAAGGGAAACTATTCATATACAGAAGGCTACATCTATCCAAAATAGAGGTTTTTACAGAGTCACAATTATTTTCATCATTGTATTCAATCTGTGTTTGAATGCGATTGGCTAAATTCCAAAGATTAAAATGTTGTAAAGTTGGGATTAATTTTTCTGTGACTAATTTACGAATTAATTGCTTTAAATAAAATAAACAAACAGAATGAAAAATATTAATGATAATCAACAAATTCGAAGAAATCATATTTGTTTATCAGCAATATTCAATTATTATTTATGACCGAACTTTTAACAAAGTAACCGAAAATTATCAGTACAGGGTTGTAGAGACTGTTAAGTTGAAGTTAGACATTAATACCGTTGGATACTGGCTCAGTGGTCTACAGGTTAAACGTTCGCGCGCTAGACCGTAGGTCCAAGGTTCGGATCAGGAGTGCAGGATCATGGATTCTTATTCCTACTGAAGTCTTATACCAGGACTAAACGGCCATCCAGTGCCTCCAGGTTTTCACTGATGGTCCAACGTTGATCAGTTCATGATCTCAATTAGAAGTAACCGAAAAATTTTTTCTAATTATAGTTTAAAATGAGAGGCCTAGTTATAGTCTACCTAGTTGTTTAATCTGAATTTATGACTTTGTATTAGGATGTCGAACCTTTTAACCACTGTGAGCCCATATCACTTCATTAGTGATTATATGGGCATAACAAATAAACAAAACGAAATAAAGACCAGTGTAAATGTGAATTTCATATTTTGTATGCTTGAATAATTAATCTATGTAACTGATTTTCTTAAGCCGAATATCATGTGAAATTAACTACAAGTTAACTTATTATAACACCAAAAAAGACAGTTGAACTAAATCATGCTGCCCCCAAATGCTCTGGTACGGTCGTGAGTGGAGAGTCAGTTCTCCCCCTCGAAATCTGTTCACATAGCCACGTGTATACAGCCACTACCACGAAAGTCCTACTTGCTATCTTCTGGTGGTGGACGAGTTGTTTACGAAATTGAGAAGGCGAAATGCGAATGTACGACGATTTAACCGGGTTGGTGGATACAGGTGATTTACCAAGGGGAGTTGGAAAACCCTGATTCCAAATAAATGGTGCACATGGGCTCCAAGATCCTGAGGGAGCAGTCAGTCAGCTGCAATGTAGGACCAGGCACATATATACATCGGTCCAAGTTGCCATACCGCATTAACACAACAAGATGAACACCAAAATCATAGTAGTTAATTCAGTGGTGGTAATATATAAAAGAAATATTGCATATAAGCATATAGTACAGGAATAAAGAATTAGTTCGTAGAAAGAAAGATATGAAGTGATTTTAATCTCTTAGTTTAAAGGAAGACAATGAGTGTATACACCGACGCCATTGTGATCAATTCTGAGTCATGTCACCAAGAGTCTCCAACTATTGGTTACGATAGTCACGCGGACCCCAACCAAGTAGTCACTGGCCAACATGGGACTGCATTTCCTTACATGCAATCTTTCTTTTATATATTACCATCATTGAATTAACTACTTCTATGAATCAGGTGTTCATCTTGGTGTGCTAATGAGGTATGGTAACTTGGACCGATGCATATATGTGCCTGGTCCTACGTTGTAGCTAACTGACTGGTCTAACGTTGCTCTGATTCCATGTCGACTAGACCTCCAGATCAAAGGTTCTGATAGTGACCCTTCAACAAAACCGCCTGCTTCGGTTTGGGTGACAAAGCATTGTCCCAGTCCTCATACAAATCGAATGACATAGTGTGATGCACATATATTTGGTGACTCCTTGTACCAATGTTTATGTGTTTGAACAAATAAAATCATACAAACACTAGTGAGATCAAACTTTTTCTGGCTAGATAATTAATTTTATAAACATATAATACTAAATAATGCGAGATCTCTTCACATGAGTGTTTTACGATATTGATAATAAAGTTAGCTTTTATTAATATATATATAAACCATTACTTCTACTATTACCCTACAGGTTTCCGTTAATTTATCGTACTGTATCGAACTCTCGAATTCCAGCAGAAATCCTATGATACTGGAAATTGAGATCATTTTTTTAGTTCAGTGCCAAATGATGAGTCTCAACTAAACATATCTATGAAGCAATTTAATTGACATAGTGAGGTATAAACGTAGTTGTTTACTTTAGTTCAGAAAGTACTCGCTATGGATTGCCGTCTTGACCATCTTAACTCAACATGCCATTGTATTTTGAGAAGACGTAATATTATCTACGAAGTCCCAGTTGATTGATCAGCTTGCATGAGGCAGACAATTACGTTAAGTGACCTCTATTTTTAGTAATGAAACTCGAAAATACCACTCAATACTTATTAAGCTATCTTTAAGATCGAACTATCCGCAATGGTCAAGCAAGTTTCGGAGCACAGAAAGGAGGAAACGACATATTTACTTACTACAAAGAAGTTAGACAGAAAGTCTAAACTGGTCGGCCTGATGTAAATCGACCCCAGCCACTGCTATAGCAACTATCTTCAAAGAGGAAGACAAATTACCAATAATTGTATCTTCATTGCAGAGTTGAATCCGAATATGCTGACTGATTCATTTTCAGCTAATTAACGATCGTGTAAATTCACACAGAAATTCTCGCTTTTATTAATGTGAAATGTCATTTCGGTGCATTGGAATAAATCGTGTTCTTAGATCAAGTCTTGTTCTCATTAGAGTTAAGTCGAGTAGTTAAGAAATGCTAAACAGAAAAATATATAACATAGATATTTTGCCACCTTAATTTTTTTAAAAGAAATCCTTTTACTATAAATGAATAAATTTATTCTAGTGAGATGATCCACTATGTGGGCGTGGGTTCGAATCCCACCTCCGACACATAATTTTGCCCCCAGATGCCCTGGTACGGCCGAGAATGGGGAGAGTCCGCTCTCCCTCTCAAAATGCTCTCACATGGCCATGCGTATATAGCCTATGCCAAGGAAATCCTACTCACTGCCTTCTCGTGGCGGGGGTGTTGTTTACGAAATTCAGAGGACGAAAAGCGAATGTCCGGCGCTTTAACCAGATCCCAAAGCAATGGTGCACATGGGCTCCAGTATCCTGAGGGAACAAATGGCGTATGAACCAGTCGTTGGTCACCGGCTACCATGGGACTGCATCTCCTTACGATGCTCCACTGCCTTGTGGGTCAAACGTTCAGGTCGAAGGCTCGGGGTGTGGCCCCCTAAGAAAACCACCTGCTTCAGTTTGGGCACCCGGGCAGTATCACACACACAGGTAAAATGAAAATTGTGTGGTGCATATGTATTTGGTGCCAGCATGTACCAATATCTATGTGTTAAAATAAATAAATAAAGTGAGATGTTAATTCCTTCATAGAAGTACATTCGTACGATTGTGAACTAAGTACATTATAGTGGTTACTAATACAAGCTGTGAATTAGATACAAACAAAGGTTTCTAATATTTTCAACACTTGAAAGGTATTTGAACAAATTTCGACAATACTTTTACACCATATCTCTTCGATTACATTATCTACTAGGGAGATAAAGTGATTAAATACACATGTTCACATACAAAAATATGAGCTACATAGACTGAATTTCATGCATATTAAGCTGTCCAAGATTAAATAGAGCATTTGATTACTGGTTTAATCCATAAGAATCAAGTACTTGAGCCAGTAGTTTGTATTTTCACTAATCTTAATGTTCATTATATAATCCATCATAAAACTGACTGATTGAGTGAATAAAACTTACAGCATTAAATTTAACAGTATCAAAATTCACTGGATATGATCGTTTGAGAGGAGAACCACGATTTTCTAAATTTCGAATTATATTAACTGAGAAAAAGTGAAAGAGACCACGACGACAATTCGATGAACACCATAGAAAATCTTCGAAATCCTTCGTGCTTGAATCATTGTTTTGTAAGTGTGAATTATTACTGTTCATAAAAATACCAATAGCATTAATAGTATTACATCCTATCAATTCATTTAAAAGATTTTTCCAATTCATAACAGCAATTGGATGTGAGCATATAGTTGAAATAATGTTGAATATGATATCTGATAGATTTTTATTTAAAAATATGAAACAGAACTGAATAATAATAATAATAATAATAATAATAATAATAATAAACGTATCAGTAGTTAAACCAACTGTTTTAGACTTGAATAGACTAATACTAATGTAAAAGGACAATTCTTGATTCGGTTCATAATTAAATAATACAAACTGAGTACTAGATATTCCATAAATAGAAAGTTATTATCGTTAAAATTGACAATAGAGACCCTAATTCCTGAAGCATTCATTGTTGTATTTTGCTTAGATACAGAGCACTAACTAGATAGTCAACATCAAATAATATGATAGAATCAATTCCAAATGATCCCAAGTAACATTAAAATGCTGATGTTAGGGTGAAGCTTCAGTCGGTTGACTTAGATTGTTTGAGGGAATCGGTAAAAAGAACACCGGACCTATGTTTCATGCTATCGGTCACTCGTCAACGACGTGTATCTGTAAAGTCTCAACATAGTCAACGTGATGTCGAGTCACCTAAACAAGTGGACAGATTGCAGTTTGATCGATAGAATTCAATCAGCACTAAAAGGTTTAAACATGATATTAGCTACTACTTAATTACCAATCAATTGTAAATATCCCAGTCATATAGGAGGCCTGTCGAAACCGTAATAGCTTAGTGGTAACGTTTCAAATTATGGACCTGGGAGAAAGAGAATTGGACCAGCTATGGAGAAAGTCACATCAATGTCACAGATATACCTTGCTGACGAGTAACAGCTGATAAGAAAGCTAGATAAATAGTTTCCTGTTGACTGCTTCTAACCACCTAACAGGTATACTATTTGATGAATATGGATTTTAGAAGTAAATTGTCGAAAGTATAAGCTTACTAGGAGCATGGATAAAAACCAGACCTAATGATTTGTAAAAGGTAGAGATAAGATTGAAGAAAAGTAAAGAGCAGAATAGGCTTTATTTCTATAGTAAAATAACATGCTTAAATACTAAATATTGGCAACGAAAATTGATACCCTTAGAAGCTAATTGAAATATAAACGATTAGAATATCCGAATTTTGTAGACCAGTCGAATGTTAATGAAATTAGGATTTGACCATACATATTAAATATTTAGTCAAATTTGAGTATTTGCAAAGTGTAAGAACACTATGAAAACCTTTTGAAAGCAACTTGGTAATGAGTACATCATGTTACTGACTGAATAATTTTCATCTTGAACGCGAAAATGACATTTTACTATGTGACGACATATGGCTACCCAAAATAACATTTAATCACTCCGAAAAAAATGTAAGTATGACATTTACTTTCTAAAGAGCGGAGTGCAAAATAATCCTAATGAATAGCAGAAACCAGAACCCGCACACGTACTTGATAAATATTCCGCAATAATCGATAAGTTTATATATGTAGGTAATTATATAAATGTTAATGATTAAGTAACAGATGAGATCGACTCCTACATACTAAACGCCATGACAATTTATTGTATTTTAAACTATCTTCGACGCCGCCGTGCTAACGACCCAGTTATAAAAAATCCAGCGCACAATACTGCTATCCAAACGGCTATGTTTTACACTTGAGAAACTGATATGTGGTAATGAGAGTAAGGCACGATTGGTCACTGAGTGTGGTCAAACAGGTACTTAGCCTACAGACTATCAAATATATGATTTCCTTTCCTGTTAGTAAGTTCCATTTCGGACTGACTGAGTGTGACTGCTTGTAACTGTATCATCTGGCTCTCTATTCTGGGTTGTGAATCCTGGATCTGATACAACGCGACTAGTCTCATTACTGTATAACGTATTATCGTAGTATACCTAAGAGAAAATAATTTTAAACCATCCGTTTTATCAGAAACGTAGTATATCTGAGTTAACATAGTTCGACAATCCTGTGTCCAATCACAATTTTCTCTAAAGAATCGTCAATATTCGACGACTATCATATAAATAGTCGTAAGGCTAAGCTACATTTGTTCCAACGTTTTTCTCACCACGATTCGACAAGTGATATCATTCTGAAATACAAACTTTGGACAGTTAGACATGTTCTAGGTATATTGCCTCAACTCCCGAACTTAACACTATATATTGACCATGAGATAGTGAAAAGAGCAGAGGTAGTCAGTTTATATTATGACCTCACGAACCAAAGGATATTTGTCTTCAATCAGTATTTAGTCAGTATATATGCATTGATAGCATGCTAATAAGTTGAATAATTACCGTTCTCAGAAACTCCAAGCTCTTTTAGAAACATCTTCGAATGATCAACGTCTTTGGAGATCGATTGACAAGGGGTAGTTATGGTTAGTGGATTTTCTGTCTCCAAGACAATACTAGAACAAAAGGAAATTTTGTTTAGTGCACCAAAATCAAATTCATCGTTATTTTTGTTTTTTAAGCTCTCGTATGTTTTGTCTAACAAATCAAACAAGTGGCCGTAATCTTCTTTCAATATATTCAGAAAAGATCTGAATACTTTTTGGATTTCCGATCGACGTAGTAAACATGCAATCAAGCATCTTACTCCGGCTCTTCTGCCCTCTCTTTGGGAAGTCGCTATAATTGATTCATAATCATTAGGAGTGATTAATGGAGGAGTAGTAGCAGTAAGGTGATCAATAATATCCATACTATCCAAATCTGACACAAGAGCGGGTAAATTTCTCATTATTGCTAGTTCTTCACAGGATAACATCTTTAGAAAGCTAGAAGGAATGAAAAAATGTTCAGCCAATAAGGGATTATATACACGTTATTGAGAAAGCAAATTTTCATAAGAACAAATTAACATGACCTAACGTGTTACGAAAAATCCCTAGGTTGTTGATACATGAAAATATTGACTGTTCGTTTTAAAATATATACAAAAGACCGCAAACTGCAAAAAGCATACCAAAATATACATTTACTTCCCCCAGAGTATTTTACATCTAAGCTGTATTTGATACTTATTCATATAAACGTCATGTAAATTTTAGTGTGAACTTCAATGCACAATAACGCCTCAGACCTAAAAAATAAATCCTGACTCATAAATCAAAAATATTTTGTATTTGACGATTCTAAAAAACGCTCTTTCATGACCATTCGTTGACTAAGTGCTGAAAATGAGGACACAAAATGGCCATTTAGTCTGATTTTAAGAAGAACAATCTTACTTATGTTTTAGACCAAAAGCAGCAAAAACTGTCTAGTAAAGTATAGCCTTCATTTAAGTGATCAGTTCCTTATAGTGGTAAAAGCACTCAACTCTTAAGCATTAGGTCATCGGTTGGAACACTCGTCCATATATTTTGGTCTTGTGTAAAAAATGTAAGAAATAATTTATTTATTGATACTATAGTTAAGTCAAAACTATACACACATCTTGTCAAATTAAAACTGTGGCTAACCATCACTTGTTTATTTATTTCCCCTGTTGTTAACTTAAATTCGAGTTGAACCTATCTAAGCTAAGATTATACTAAACACTATACATGCATACGCAAATAATTAAAAGACTAAACTCTGTCTTTCCAAAAAACACAAAAACCGGTTAAGTGTTTGTCTCAAATTAAGTCTTTGCATCTGTCGATACAAGAATAACAGATATTTGATCGGAAAATTTACCATCAAACTATCCAAATATAAACCCGATCAGTAGTTCACTATCTCCCATTGGCAGATTAGTGTGTAATTTAATAATTATTTCATTTAAAATACGTCAGAAATAATTAATGTTTACTGTGATATAAATGATAGTAAAAAATTCAGTAAAATTTCTTATTCATAACAGTTCAATCTTATGATGTAAATTGCAAATATCCATTAAGTTATTGGTTAGTTATTGTCAAGTTTTGCCCAGTTCAATATGTTTAAATATGACTATTGATGAGTATAAGTAAAAAATATAAAAATCGGTGTATTCCGAAAAGTTTCTGACCTACTTTTGGAGCATAGAAAATTTTCATCTACAGACCTAGTACTTTTCATTCATGTCAAACTACACCACTTTTATTCAGCTATAACAGGAATTAAAAGACAAAGAAGCTAAATCGTCGAGGTTAAGTTAGCTGGGCAATAATCCCACACATTTCATGGTAGACGTTTCAAATCGCACCACCTCGTATGCCCGTTGTTAAATTTGCAGTATAAACATTTGATACTTCTTGAGCGAAAGCTCACTTCCTGGGCATTTCTAACGTGGGCAGTTAGCCGGTAAACCTTTGAATTATAGCAGTTCAACTCTTAAAAACCTGTTCTTTCAAAATTGTTTACTCACGAGCAGCTTTTTAACCGTTTATGAGTTTGTTTTGCGGACTACTTTTGTAGTAGTTTTAAGTTCTCAGCTCGATTAGCTTTCAACTTACTGCAACTAAAAAATCAAAGGTATTGACCCAGTCAATTAATAATCCCAAACCGAAATTCGTTTTCATCTTACATTGTTGTTAGTGTCACATCCCTGTAATAAGCAATTCAATCAACGGTAATATTGCCGTTGTAGCAAATCCCCCGATGAGATGAGTGTATATTATCGGCTCAATTAGCTCCTAACTAACTGTAACTGCCCAATTAAAAGAATTGATACAAACAATCAATTAATCAGTAATTTTAAATCAAAGGTTGTTTTCTTCTTACTTTGTTGTTAATGTTACATCCTTTTATTTCGATAACACCGCCAGAGAAATCTCGGTAACTTGTACGTATCTTGTAACCCATTCAATATCAATGTTTATGTCACTTGTTAACGTCTAGGAATTCTTTTTTACATAACCATCCCAGTTACTATCAGCATTGTGATGTTAATGATGTCGGTATCATCCATAAATGAAGGATAACCAAACATACATTTGTTATTATTACTTGCACCTGGTTTCCCAAATTACGAAATATTTAGCTCATTTGGAAGGAGACAAAATAAATCCAGCTCTGATCATATCAACTAAAAACATCAACGTTAACATGCACATGTTCACTCGTACATGCCTTATTAAATATTTCCTTTTTCATAACCCATCACTAGGTTGCCGTTTATCACATATGTCAGAATTTCACTTGTTCTTAGAACATAACTGCATCATGATCTGTACTATCCGCTCTTAGAAGCCTAGTTATTGGCTAGACAAAACTCTGGGTAACTGAGATGACTTAATCTGTTCATCATCCCGGAAACGTTAAAAACCCATAGCTATCTCGCTGATCAATATTATCTAAATAGCCAGTCACTTTACCAGAACTTCAGGACTTGTAAGAAGATGAGATGTATTAGCTGATAACAGATGACGTTGAATACTTACTGACATAGACAATCCTATACCTGTGTATTTATTCAGAGTCAGTACTACGTACTTGTTTTTAAGATTGATCCAAAAGTAAGATATGTATTGGACCAAATGGTTACCCCCATAGATTTTAAGACAACGTATGCCATTAATTGGCTTATTTATGTTCCTAGATCGATAATTTTACCCTAATGTAGTAGACCAGGGATGACATGACTGTTTAACATACATTACTTCACATTAAAACTGCATCATTGTCCATCCTGGCCTATCCCATTGTGATAACCAGGACGCGTGAGATCATTTGTTTGTTTATGTATTTCTGAGAATAGGAAAAACATTCTGTACGGATGTATGACATTTTGTTCCTCCTTGACAACTAAGTTCTCCGTCTCATCCATTAATCTTGTATACATCATATTTTGTCTAACGTAGGACAAAGTTGGTCCCCATATTTACTTATGACTGCATTTCTCCACTTGTACAACTTCTTTCTTTGTATTCTATGGAGATATCTACTTTGATTTGGTGATTCTTTTTCACCAAAGTTCTCCGCACTTCTACTCCATTCCTTTGAAATGACTGATTTGGGTCATCCATTTTTGTTTCAAGACAGACCAGTTTCAAGAAATTGCAGACCAAATATCAGGAAGAATGTTTTTTCCGGAAATGCCGTATATATGGAATATATGGAAACGCCTAGTAGACCTAATTGCAATGCTAGTTCTGTTGCTAACAGGAAAAACAAAAGTTTGTGTAACACTACTATAATTGCCACTCCAACGAAAGTTAATGAGTGGGTACAAATCAAGAATAAGATATGACTCAATGTTGCTGAAAGCAAACCAGTACACCAAACAGTAGCCGAAAAATTAAAGGCTGATAATAGTGACAGGTCAGTTATCTTTCATAAAATCAAGAAGAGCGATGGCTCAGAACTCAGAACTCGTTTCGAAGATGAAATGAACTTGATAAAGGTGCTATTGAACCAGCTAGTACCTGAGGATATCTCCGGCGTCATCTCGCTAATGGTTTGTAGACTAGGTAGCCGAATGAACTTGAAACAGGATCAAACCAGACTGTTAAAGGTCGTACCTAAGCCTTCCAATGGAAGAGATGACACTACACAATGGGCATTAGCTAAGGTGGTCAAGGGTTCTTGTCTATAAATACTTGCCGCTCGCGGACCATATGAAAAGGTGCGAGGTCAAAAAAATACTAAAACTTAGATTAGATGCTGACGAGAAGGACCTTAAAATTGCAAATTCTCGGATGGTAAGGCTTTGACGGAGAATGATGCTGAAGCATAAATGTTAAGTCGGCTTTCCAAGAACTACAACAGAGCCTCCGGAGGCCCTGAAGGAGCCAAAGAGTCTAAGCCAATCAGAGCAGGATGGAGCTTTCTGGAATGCCAACGTGGCGCGCTAATATTGGTCAGTAGCATAATATGTCATTTAGCGGATTGGCCAAAATATGATGTTGATTTAACAAGTGTTAACACCATAAATACCCATGTTTTTCTGTACAAAAAAGAACCTTGGATTAAAGTACTTTTCGCATACTTTGCGCCTTCTCTCTCGTGTTCAGGTCGCTGTATAGTTCTAGCTTGGGGGTTTTCAAGAATAGCTTATGAATCGAGTATAGCGTCCAAAATCGCAAGACTTATCAATAAAGCCATTTAAATGGTCTTCGAATCTGTTACACGAAAATCTGGAGGTTGCTCAATAAGCGATCAGAGCTAGGTGTATTAATATAATTTACTAAGCAGGATGTAATCGCAGTAACAGAAACTTGACTGGCTGAGTTGGCAAACAGTAGAGAATTGAATTTGAAAGTTTTACATCAGTAAGAGCCGACAGAGTGCAGAAGCGTAAAGGAGAATTATCTCTTTACTTTAGAAGTACTATCCCACACACCGTCATCGATAACATATCCTCTGAATGTGGAACGTGCTATTTAGTTATTTACCGTTTGAAATGCAAAAGACGAAGGCTGCCAATTGATTTCGTTCACCTCAGGCTAGGCTGTGAGGTGAACGAGTTCTTGCTAGACGGTTTCAACACTTGGTCATCGAGTGGTCGATGTTAATCATAAGAGAGTTTAATGCATCTACGATACAACGGAAAAATCTGAGGATTAACTTTTCGGAAAATTCATTTGTCATAGAGCAACATGTGAAAGAAGCAACAAGGTGCAAACTAGACTCCGAATCATTCTTACTGGATCTCATATTGATCGATTATAAGGAGTGGTCACAAACCTCCATCATGTCATCCCTGGTTGGGTGACCATGAAGTACTAGTTTTTGATTTTTATATCGTTGTCAACATAGATGTGTCAGCCCAAGTCAGATCAAGCATCTGGAAAGCAGTTATATGAGATACTATGCACTCATCATCCTCAGTAGACTGGTCAATAGACCCAGAGCCTCTCATGCAATGTTTTGGAATGTATTCAAAAATTTATACATAAAAATTACGGCATTTTTCATCCCGTCAGCTACATCAGGGGGTTCGAGAAAATCCTCGCGGTGGTTCAGCAAAGAGGTTTGCACACTTCTCCCTAAGAATTCGAGAGAGATCTATGTTACTGGGTGATGAGGAGACAAGATCTCAATATCGGGTAGCTCGAAATATTTGTTCCTTGATCCTTCACAAATCTAGGAGGCTGTGCGAAAAGAATTTGTTGAAGAATCTGTAGAATACCGTGAACGCTTATACTCGTACATAAATCAATTGACAAGAGAAGAGGGTATATTCCAGCAGTGTGGGGAGACATTATTACTTCATCATTAGTAGAAGATAACTTTGGTAGAGCTCAGGTACACTCAAACTCCTTTTTCAGCGCATGCTCTTCTCTTCAATTCATACGAACTCTCACACACACTCGATACGGTGACCACTAAAGAACTCTATGTCTTTGGCCTGATAAATCAGCTTGATATAGTCGAATCCATGGGGCCGATGTCATACATCACACGTTACTGAAGGAATTGGCGACGTTCGTTGCGAACCCCATATGCATACTTTTTAACCTATCTGTAACCCAGGGTCGATTACCAAATGACTAGAAGAACGCCATGGTAAGTCCTGTCTTTAAAACAGGTACAAGACATAAACCTGAGATCTATTGACTCGCAAGCCTAACCAGCGTGATTGTTAAAACTTTAGAAAGGATAGTTCGAAAGAAGTTGTTTAGGAGTTGTAGAATTTGAGAGGGCACCCAATGATGGTTTACAAACCCATAATAGACCAATCGCCAACTGATTGCAGACATTCTCATAGAAACATCGACGAATGGAATTTATTACTTCAACACGTGATCGAAGCTACACCTGTCCACGCTTGCAAAAGAAAATCAGATCGACTGACAGACCAGCATTGCCAGAACTAAAACAAGGCACCAATCTAACTGTCATTGCCAAACTGAGATTTAATGCAAACGTTATTACTTGGATATTTTCTTTTTCTATGCACAAAATTTCTAACTTATCTCGGAACCTTAAACTGATATGAAGAGTACTTTGCCGTCATAACAATAATTTAGGACTGTCCAGACGCAGTGGAGAACTAGAAAATTACTAAATACAGACCTATCCCCATAAAAACATGATTTCGATTTATAGCACGAGATCTCTTACATTTCGACATGTAAGATCTAGTTCTGACAGCTCACTTTTAAATCATGAAAAATGGCATTTTTTGCATCAACTTTGTTGAGTGAAATTTGTGTTTTTACCCATCAGTTAACACGATCAAGGTCGTTAGAAGGTTGAGTCACTCATAAAATGTCTAGATCTCCTGGTCCAATACTAGTATACGACCGTAAGCTATGGGATATTCGTCGCTATATTTTATCTAGGAAAGAAAAGGAAATGCACACTACAGGAAGACGATGAAACTGGTAGAAGCCTTTCTCGTTTGTTGGAAATATTACGTACATATAAACCTGATCTGGCTTCTGAACTGTTGCTCTCACTGGTAAATCATTTTCATTGAGAAATATTAGTATAAGAGTTCATTTCCAAGGTTTCAGATACACTTAATATTTTAACATCCTTAGGTTCTTAAGCTGTGTCCAAAATCAATATCTTCTCGACAATTTCGACCCACTTGTATTTATCGGAGATGGTGGTTTTGGAACCGTTTACAAGGTATACCACCTCCATATTTTTATCAGACATTGTTGTAGACAAAACACAAAATTGACGGAAAAGCCTACGCAATCAAAAAGATTTCCGGGTCACGTTCGAGAGATACTCTCGTAAGTTTGATCGTGTTTGTGACTTCCACTCTCAATTTATTAATTCCTTTCGGTTGAAACATTCTTTGGCCAAGGTAAAAGCAATAGGGCGAAATGTGTCCCCATGTTTATTAGCTTGATTTGTA